TTGTGTGGTGTGATTTTTGAGGCATTCCTTGGCACTCCGGTCAAAACAATTCGTGATAGCTAATTCCTTATATTAAATGTTTTTACATTTCAATTACTTTCTATTTTGTAATAAACTCCAGCCTAGTAAAAGGAAAAGAGGATGTCTGAGGAGAAAGACATGAACTATATATAGTGAGAGAGAGAAATAGTTTATCTAGAGGGAACAGGATTTCTATTTCATTGAATGAATGTTTGATAATTTAACCAGACTGGGCCTGTAGGTTGTTTGAACACACACACACACATTATTATGGGGTAAACATTTTCTTTTGGAAAGCCTCTTGCATATGCTAAGGGTACATTCCACTACTGCTACATTCTCTGACTCTGATTTATTTGATTATTTTGACAATTAACTCCCTGGAAAGACCATTAAAAACCATCTGTTGGCAAAGCAAATGCAAGTGTATTTCTTGTTACAAATTTTGTAAAGGAAGAAGAGAGTCAAGGACATGGAGGAGACTATAGCCTTGAGAGGATCTTACTAGCATCCCAGGAGGAAAGCAAAGGCAGGGTACCTGTGACGTTCAGGGAGTTTATTTAAGATGAGTCTTTGACTGTTGAAGGGACTGCAGTCACCAGATATATAGCGTCTACGACAAGATGCCTGAAATAAACAAAGCAACCCCACCAGTAACTCTAGCTCAGGGCAACAGAGGCCATCTCCGGCCCTTGTCAGCACCTGCACTCGCGCCGCACACACATACACATGTGCACATAGATAATAATAAATCTCTTCTTCATCCAAAGAGACATTGCTAAGAGAATGAGAAGATGCAGACTGTAAGACACTATCTGCAAATCATATACGTTAACATATCATATTAAACGATATAAAGAATTATCAAAGGGCTGCAGGGGGAAAAGGGAATGAAAGAAGTGCTGTAATTATATATTTTAATTTAAAATCTATTTTAAAAAAAAGAATCCTTGGGATCTGGAGAGATGGCTCAATAGTTAAGAGCACCGAATGCTCTGCCAGAGGACCTGGGTTCAATTCCCAGCACCTACATGGCATCTCATAATTGTCTGTAACTCAGTTCCAGGGCTTCTGACAACCTCACACAGAGAAACATGCAGGCAAAACACCAATGAACACAAAAATATTTAAAAGCAAGCAAGCAAACAAACAAAAACTCCACTACCAGTCAGCGCTCCGGAGGCAAAGGGAGGTGGACTCTGAGTTTTTGAGGCCAATCTGGTCTGCAGAACAAGTTCTAGGACAGCCAGGGCTACAGAGAGAGACAGTCTCAGAAAAAAAAAAAATCTTAAAACTCTGATCTTAAAGCTCAGCTTCAAACCTCACCTCCTTCTATATCCTACCTGAGCTATCCACATTGGGATACATGCTGCATATTAAGTTGCTGGAGTATATCCAAGGAAAATAAGTCTGAATTAGGCTACTACTAAATAGAAGAAAGAACTTACATTTGGGTATTTGGGTGCCTCCCCCCCAAAAAAAAATTTCTAAATATCTCTGTTAGGTTCTGCACCATTTTTTTTCACTGTTCGATAGGCTTCTAGAGGATTTTTTAGGTCTATTAGAGGGCATTGAGACAATTATCCTTTAGAAGAAATGTATTAGGATTATGTCCACAATACTGTTAGAGAAAACAATGGGGTTCTGACAAAAGCATTCAAGAATGACAAAGGCAGCCTGACACAGTGGTGCAGGCCTGTGATCCCAGCACTGAGGAGACAGAGGCAGGCAGATCTCTGTGAGTTCAAGGCCAGCTTGGTCTATGAAGAGTCCAGAACAGCCAGGACTACACAGGAAAAAAAAAAAATGACAAAGGTAATTTTTTTTTTTTTTTTAACTAATGTGTAGAGGACTGGGACCTCCACACCATGTCATCTAGGAAGTATAGGAGCCACAGAGGCAGAAGGCACTAGATAAAAGAGTAAAGAGGAGTTCCAGGATAGCCAGGGCTACACGGAAAAACCCTGATGTGAAAAACTGGGGAGGAGGGTTGTAATTCATGGTTACACTGGTCTTGAGCAAGTGGTGGGCTGGGTGGGCGGTGCTGAAGGGATGGGAGGATTTGAGAGTGTGGCAAGGCCACTATAGGTGTTGCCTATCAGCTCTGTCTGAAAAGAGGCTTCAAGGAGTGGGGACTGATTTGGGGTGGGTGGGGGTCTGTGTTCTAACACAGTCCTGCGTGTGTGTGTGTGTGTGTGTGTGTGTGTGTGTGTGTGTGTGTGTGTTCCTACGTGTACACATGCAGAGGCCAGTGGTCAATCTCAGGTGTCTTCCTCAATCTCTTCTCCACCTTATTTATTGTGTGTGTCTGTGTATACAGATGTGTGTGGAGGCCAGAAGGAGACCTTTGGTATAGTTCTCAATCACTCTCCGCCTTATTTATTTATTTAGAGAGGACTGAACCTACAACTCATAGATTAGGCTAGACTGGCTGTTAGATTTCAGAGCACAGAGTAAGACAGACAGAAGGCAGAAGGAGACCAGAATCTGGCCTCACCAGATAAAGCTGGATGTTTCCAGCTGCAGAGATGGCTCAGAGATTAAGAGCACTGGCTGTTCTTCCGGAGGTCCTGAGTTCAATTCCCAGCAACCACATGGTGGCCGGATCTATAGTGAGATCTGGCACCCTTTTCTGGTGCACAGGTGTATGCGCAGACAAAGCGTTGTATACATAAGTAAATCTTTTTTAAAAAGCTATTTCAAATATTGAAGGTCAGACAAGACACTACAGTGGAGAATAAATGCAGTCTGTGATGGTCTTTTCTTCCTGGAATTGTTTGCTCAAACATGGCAGATTATCTTGGGAGACTGAGAGACCAAAAAGATTAAAAATCAGCTATTATTAATATTTAAGACCTGAACTAGCTGGGCGGAGAAGTCCAGTAATGCCCTGAGGGGAAGGACCACCTTACTACATTCTTTCCCCACCCACTAGAGATACAGTTGCTAGGAAACTGGCCCATCCCCCCAGGGAGGGACACCAGGTCATTAATGGTCTGGGGACCTTCCTATAGCTAGTCAACTCAAAATGTAGCATTTCGACCAACAGACGCTTGCCAGGCAGGAATCGCCCCTGCCTTGGGCACGCTGGGATGAACCAGAATCTTTAAATCACCCAACTAACCTGAGCACAAGGCGCTGGGCTCTCTCACCTAGAGAGAAATTGCAGCTTGTAATTTACAATAAAAAGAACCTCATGTATTTACAGCGGAGTCTGTTTATTCCTGGTCTTTTGGGATTCGCGAACTGGGCAGAACAAGACAGGCTGTCTCAGCAAACCTTCTCTAGGTGTGGCTGGCAGTAACTGTAAAGTCCTGTAATCTCACAGGAATCCTGTTTTTACAGCCTAGGCTTTGTCACCGGCCAGCCACTGAGCCCCCGGGACCCTCCTGTGCACACATCCCCAGTAACACTGGGATTGTATGGTGGCCAAGTTTTCTTCTCTATTACTGTGTGTAAAACAATGACCAAAACCAACTTAGAGAGAAAAGGGCTTATTCTGGCTTACAACTGTACATCATAGTTCATCACTGAAGGAAGTCAAGGCAGGAACTGAAGCAGAAACCATAAACGAGTGCTATTTACTGGCTTGGTCTCCACAGCTTTCCTAGCTTGCTTTTTTATACAATCCAGGACCACCTGCTCATAGGTGGCACCATCAAAGCAGGCTGAGCCCTCCACATCAATCATTAATCAAGAAAATGCTCCACGAACATGCCTAAAGCCAACCTAGTGGAGGCAGTTCCTCAGCTGAGGGTCCCTTTTCCCAGGTGTCTCTAGTTTGTGTCAAACTGATAAACACTACCCAGCACACATCAAGCCCTTTAACTCACCAAGCCATCTCTCCAGCTCCTTTAGTCAATTTACGAATTAGATTTACTTTTGCTCGTGTATCTTTCAGACAAGATCATAAACTTCTTTTTTTTCCTGGAACCAAGCCCAATGTTTTGTAGCCGGGACTCAAGAATGATGAGTGAGATAAATAAAATATGAAAGTCTAGGCCACTGACATGGCTTAGCAGATAAAGGTGTTTGCTGGGCAAGCCTGCCAACTTGAGTTCCAGCCCAAGAATACGTATAAAAGTAGGACAGAATCAAGTCCATATAGCTGTTCTCGGGCCTCCGTGCGAGCACACTCACAATGCACCCCCAATAAAATTTTCAAAACTAGAAGATGAACATATTAAGAAGGTGACCGGTGGCTAGTTTGATGTCGTCTGACAGGACAGAACCTCAACTGAGAAACTGCTTCCATAAGATCAGGCTCTATGCAGTCCTGTAGGGCACTTTCTTAATTAGTGATTAACGGGGGAGGGCCCAGCTCATTGTAGATGGAGACACCTTGTCAGGTGTCCTGGGTTCTGTAAGAAAGCAAGCTGAGAAGGCGTGAGATACATCAGTAAGCAGCACCCCTCCACGGTCTCTGCCCTGCTTGAGTTCATCTTGCCTTCCTGCAATGACGAGCAGTGACGTGGACTGTTCAAGCAAATAAGCCCTTTCCAGGTTCAGCAACAGTAACCCGAAGACAGTAGGTGACTGCTTTATGACTACTTAAGAAAAATTCTATTACTACTCAAAATCAAACTAGTTAACAGCTTCTCCCTTTTTTCTAACAACCAATTGTGTGCGTGCGTGCCCCCGCGAGGATTCTAGAATACTAACTCTAACGGAGTTGCCGTAGGCAGGCGACGGCTCAGCACTGGCTGCTCTTCCAGCTCCCAGCACCTTCAACAACAACAACAACAAAAAACGTACGTGGAGCTGCTAACAGCGCCAGCTTTTAAACACTGACGTGGGTGAGGATGGAGAAGACCAAGCAAGCATTAAGTGCCAGGACCGGAAGACTGTCTTATTTTAGTCATCACTTACAAAACGAATTGGAAAGCGCTAAGGGAAGCAGTCTACTCCCTCCGCCCCAGCGGGAACGCCGGCCGTGGCCGGAAGGGGCGGAGCCTAAGAAGCGCCTTAGGGTTGCGGCAAGGCCGGCCACTTCCTTTCCCTGCAGCGCCCGGGAGCGTGAGCAGCGCGGGCGGCATGGCGGGCAGCGGAGGCCCCGGGCGGCGGAACCCGGCCTGCCCTCGGGCTCATCCAGGTGCGCATCCCGCGGTCTGTCTCCCCCGAGGGTGCGGGGCGGGGCTCTTTGCTGGCGGCGCCGGGTCCCAGCCGGGTACGGTGGCCCCCGTGGCCTGCTGGGCGCGGCCCGTTCCCGCTCGCTCGGGCTTTTCAATAATCTGCAAATGTACGCCGAGCCCTTGGTTAAAAGGCCTGCGCTCAGGACACTTACAAGTGCGGGGAGAAGCGGCCTCTGGCGGCAGCTTTAGCCAGGCCTGCACCGGGGCGGGGGTCCCTTTTGTGTCCCCACCGTGACCTATTTTTCCGTGGGAAATTTTATACAGGCGGAGTATTGCCTCTTAGATATTGAGACCGTCAATTTAAGGTTTAGGAGGCAGAATTTGCGCACCATCTTGAAAGCCACACAGGGTGGTAATGCTGGCTATGAAAAGGTTGTAGTGTCACGTTCTGAAGCATAACGAATACAAGAGAGCGCACCACCTCAGAACCGTAAATACTAAATTTTTCTGTTAGCACTTGTAAACCAGGTTACGTACTGTGAATTCCTATTAACTCAGGCATTTCAAGACTTGAAAGCGATCAAGGTTTCAACCTAAAAAGTTGAATTTTATAGGCCTTCATAAGTCCTCTCCAGTAACTGGTTCAATAATTTATTCTCTTGGAGTTTTGTAGGACATGATTTGTGACCCTGCCCATGCTCTTTGCTGTTGTAATGTACAGGTGATGATCTGCAAAATTGTAGTTAATGTTAAAAATGAGCGCACAACAGATACATGAAAGGGGTTTATTGGGTGGAGATGGAGAGAAATGATGGGGGAGGGGGCTACCCCACAGAGAAAGGGGAGGGAATAGAGCTTAAAAGAGGAAGATGCTTCTGCATGATGTCATCACGTTACTAGGCAACGAAAAGCAAGCTGCCTAATGCATCTAACTTCACTGCACACCCTGAGACTGATGAGCAAATGTTTGGTGCTCTGGATCAGTCAGTCAGTCCTACCACAGTGGAGGGTGTGATTGATGGGACAAGAACTCAAGCACTGCAGGAACCTGGAGTTCGACGCCGACGCAGAAGCCATGGGGGAGTGCTGCTTACTGGTGGTTCTTAATAGGACCCACGTGGGGTATCTTTCAGCCCAGTGGTGGCACCACCCACAATGGTCTGGGCCCTCTCCTCATCAATTGCTAATAAGAAAGGACCCTGAAGGGTCACCCCCAGCCCAGTCTTAGGCAGACATTTTCACAGTTGAGGCTTTCTCCTCCGCAGTGACTAGCCTGTGTCAAGATGACATAAAAACCCGCCAGCAGACTCATAAAAGGTGCTAAAACATGGAAGTACAAATGAGAGTTCGCCGTCAAATGTTTACTTTTTTAGGTGCAACAGCTGTCTCTTTTGAAGGTCCTTGACAACTGTTTTCTGAAAACTTGTCATGGAAAGTGATTGAACAAGTTACCAGGACCACAGTTGCCAGTAACAAGGTACAGATTGTGTGTGCTGTTCGTCTTTGTGGTTTGATTAACACAGGACCTGTTCTTGCAATGGTGTAATAGCTGGCACATGATGACTTAAGTTTTTGCCGTTTACCCAGCTGAGGGTTTCTTTGAAGAAATAATCCTAAGACTGAGATGCCAGCAATGTATAAATTAGTTCATATTACTGAATTGTGATGAAATTGTTGAAATGGTGTACTGTTTCTTCTGTCCAGCATGTAGGTGGCGGGAGATGAATGTCCAACTTGAGTATCTGCGATGTTTGAAAACACGTTGTTTTGTTGGGTAAGTTTGCTCAGGCAGTCATCTATCTTGATTGAGCAGTCTTTGATAACACTCAGACTGGAGCCAACCCCTTCTGTTTACTTGGCATTCTTTTGAAGATGATGAGGCTGAATCCTGGGCTTAGTTTCTGAGATGGAAGAAAATGATTCTGTGGGCTTCTGACTGTTTCTTTTTCTTTTGGGAAGGTGCAGTACATTTTGGAATGTAAAATGAAGACTTGGTCAAGAAACTGTGAACAGAAGCAAATGATGAAAATGAGTTAAACAAGTTATATAGAAATAAACAATTCTAAGTGCTCTGGTGGTAATTTCTTTAAAATGCATGTCTTTAAAACATTCTTATAGTAAAAGTTCTCAGCTTTCATAAGCCCAGATTTCTTTGTCAATACAAGCAATCCTGGTTGCTAGGAGATATAGCTGAAAATACACTGTAGGGAGAAAAGTGTCTAGGTGATCTGTGATCACTTAACTCTAAAACTGGATTTCCTCTCGAGGTGAGACTACGCTAAATCTTTAGCTAGTTGAGTAACTAGGTTTAGTGAACAGCATAAACACACAGCAACATTCTGGTGGCGTGGCATTTGAAGCCTTAGTAAGGGCTGGGGGAGTAGTTCCTTAATTGGCCCAAAGCTCTGGGTTTGATCCCCAGCTGGTAAGAATTGTTTAGCTTTCCCTTAGAGACCTAGACTACACACATCAGGCCTTAATTTCTACTCTTATAACTTGCTGTAACAAGTTATAAGTTACAGTTGTCCTATAACAGCCAGGACCTAAAAATACCAAAAGTCAGGTGTACCACCTAATTGGAGGCGGGAAGATCACCTCCCAGGAGTAAACAGTTGTCTTTGGAGTCACATTATACACAGCTTTCTTGATTCCACATTAGGTCTTATAAAGCAGTAGGCCCATAGTGCACATGGTAAAATATAGAAGGGCCTTTACATTAGATACTTAGGGACATTTAAATTGCCGAGGTTTAAGCTCAGTTTGGTAAATGAACAAGCTTAAACTGGTATAATTGTGGTAAAGTATTGCTAACTGGTGCAATGAACAGAACTTTTTCACACTTGCCATGTTCTCAACTGTGTATCCTTGATACATAGGTAACCAGGAAATTTTGATGTGAAGCTTGGTAATGTTTAAAGACAGTTTTGTTTTGGATGTTTGGGTTATTTATATATTTGTATTTAAAAGCCACATTTCATACTCCTAATGACATTCTAATAGGTAACCTTGAGATTACACACATCTGAAGCATTCTTCCAGTCATTTAACCAAGGCTTATAGAGGCATGAAAAGAGGTCTTCCTTAAATTGCTTATTCATCACTAGAAAAGATGGTTGTCCCAGGTCCATATGTGGCAATGAATTGTTGCAGTTGCTGTTGGCATTGAGTGAGGTAGAGATCTCTTCGCTCTAAATAGTCTTCGTTATATAGTTCAAATGGAAATAATGCATTGGGAGCAACGCAAAATGCAGTGGCCCCTAAATGAACAAATACAGCATGAGACTTAAAAACTAAATTTGCAAATACATTTCAACAAAAGTAAAGGTTCTGAACTAGTTTCATTCTAAGTTTTATTTTTGGTCATTTTTGAGGCATGTTCTTTTAATTTTGGTTTTCAAGAGGTTTTCTCTGTGTACCCTGGGCTGTCCTCTGTAGACAAAACTGGCCTTGAACTCAGAGCCCTGCCTCCCAGGTGTGCACCACGCTTGACAGAGGCAGGCTCTTACTGTGTAGCCCTGGCTGGCCTCTACCTGTGAGTGTTGTGACTAAAGGTGGAAATCACACCTGGCTGATTTAAATGTATTTTAAATATAAAGTGACCTTTTCTATGTGTTAACCAACCAGGTTCTAGATCCTCTATCAGGCCAAACTGGCCTGTGCTCTGTAGTATGGAATCCTTGCCTCTAAGAACTTGATCTCTGATCACTCCCACCATTTGAGTCTTACATTGACCCCCAAGACTGTTCCCCACTATAAGCCCATGCCATCATGCTCAGTGTTGATAACTTATTTATTTACTGTGTATCTTAAGTATCTTAGTATTTATATTTAAGAAGAAAAAAGTCCCTTCTAGGGTCACATCGTCTACAGCTAGTGCCCCATCTCCAACATTCAGTTGTCTAGATGGGCTGTCTCCATAGCAACACCTGCCCAATCTCCATTCCCACAACAGTTCCAAACAGCTCTGATCATGGGCACTACAACCTCTGGCTTAGCAGATGTAACTGTAACCTCAGCCTGTGGGCAGTGACCACTCACTCTGGAAACCCTTTCTTGGTATGTGGAACACCAAACCTTTCTTCCTATAAAACAGTTTTTGCTTCACGAACTTAGTTTGTTTTTTTCCTTCAACCCATTACTAAACACAGGAATTCCTCAAAGACAGTCTCAGAATTCTCTATACTTTGTCCAAGTAATGTCATCCACTTGACTTGAAATACCATCTCTGTTGTCCTAATTCTTATATTTCCAAGTCAGAACTCTCCTAAGGTCTAGGTGTTTTTAGTGTGTGTGTGCGTGCGCGTGCTGTACCATGGGGTGAGTGTATAGGTCAGAGGACAGCTTGAGGCAATAGGTTACATCTTTCGTATGTGGATTCAGGTTTATGTGACTTTAACCACTGAGTCATCTCTTCAGCCTGAGATTCTTAAAAATGTATGATGGAAAGTAAAGACTAAACTATTGAGTCTTATTTTTAAAAGCACATAAAGTCAAAATACAACAAAATAATGGTAGAGAGGGGGAAACATGGCAAAAAAGTAAAAAGCTGAGCACACGCCTTTAATTCCAGCACGAAAGGAGGTAAAGGTAGGTAGATCTCTAAGTTTGAGGTCAGCTTTGCTACAAAGCAAGTTCAGGAGAGCCAGTGGTACACAGAGAAACCCTGTGTAGAAAAAAAAAAAAAAAAGACATGAAAAGAGTATAAATTGCCAAATAATGGAAAAGTACATAAAATATTACATGGAGAAATAAAAAAAGACAAAGATATTGATGAAAGTGTATAAAGAAAAGGGGGGAGACAGGATAAAAAAATTGAAAACAAAAGTTGTTCTTGAGATGACATATAACTGACTAGTTATAGATGGGGAGGTGAGCCAGCTGAGCTTAGACAAACTTGAGTTAAATGCTCTGGAGAATATAAGATTTGTGAGTTAAGAACAAAGGAGACCTTTAGGAAGAGTTATTTAACCTGAAGCATAAGATACCCAGGTAGAGGGCACTAAAATCACAGATGCTTTCAAGAAAATGAGAGGTCCATGGTGACTAAATCATTGACAACTAGGCAGAGCAAAATAAAGAAGCTATAAAGGAAATCTTTTTCTCTTTTAAACATGACCTCTTGGTCTTTTAACTTGCCCTCCATTATATTCTTCTCCTTTCCCTCACATTTATTTGATCTTGCTTGTCTTTTGTTTTTCTTTGCTTGCCTCCTCTTTATTCCACTGTTTTATTTTGTTTTTTTTTTTTTCTTTACAATTTTTGGGGAAGAGGTAGTGTGAGGAAAGGAGTGTGGGGAGGGCAGTAGGGAAGGGGATTTGTAAGGATAATTATGAATAACATGAAAAATAACATAAGGAAAGCTATCATTTAAAAACTAATAAAAATGAATATTTAGGGAGCTTTTTAACTGCTTTAAGAGTAAAAACATTTAATGTAAATTCCTCAACTAAAGGAATTAAAGAAAAATCTCTTTTTACTTCCTTCAAATCATTTCTATTAATCATTAATCTCTATAACCTACTTCATAAAATTTGCAATCTGTCTCCTTTGGAAAGGACACACAAGAATTTGTAGATAATGATTTACAAGGTCCTGGGGCTTGAAGCATCCATGGACCTAGTTGAGAATGCTTGGGTTAGTCTAGTAGCTGAAGGAATGGCACAGTGGTTAACAATGCTTGCTGGGGCTTAGAAGGCCCAGAGGTTAAGAGCACTGGTTACTGAGTTAAGTTCCCAACAACCACAGCGTGGCTCACTACAATCTAGAATGAGATCTGGTGACCTCTTCTAGAGTGCAGGTGTACTTGCAGACAGAGCACTGTATACATAATGAATCAATAAATCTTTTTTGCTTTAAAGAATGCTTGCTGATTTTCTAGAGGACTCAGAACTGTTGGAGGCGGAGGTTTGAGGATGGCAAGTCAAAGGTGCCTTGGCCCTGAGGTGAGGTTTAGGCTCACAAAAAAATCCAAATTAGAAATCATGCATAATCAAGGTGTTTATTAACAGATGTGTCACACAGCTGGAATTCCCAGTGCTTAGAGGCTGAGGTGGTATGATTTTGAATTCATAGCTAGCCTGGGCTACATGATGAGACTGTGTCTCAAACAACCAGTAGAAGTTCAAATTCAAGTAAGACATATCCATATCCAATAACAATAAAGACTGAAAATTTTGAAGTGTTTAAAATGCATGTAATAAGTTAATAAACTAAGATTATTTAGGGATTATTACTAACAGTGAATTACCGTATTTCAATGTGAGAGATAGCTCAAACAATAAGGCTGCAATGAGCACATCTTCTTTGAGCACTTTGTTCCTTAAATTCAGTCTAGCATGAGCTTCAGATAAAGAAACTCTAAAAAAAAAATAATACAGGTTAATAAAGACATCAATATTACAAAAAGAACATACTTAAAAGAGGAACAAATCAGGATATGACATGAGCCATGTGTTTAAGGTCTGCATACTGGTTTTTTCCTTTTAAGCTATTTGTTTCCCACCAACTTAAGTTGGGCCAGAAGAAACAAGTATCCTGACTTGTCAAAAGCAAAAAAGTAACAAAAAAAGGCTTCTACTTACCATTCCACATCCCTTGCCCCAAGTTTCACTCCGGAAAATGTACAGAAGGGGAAACAAACCTAACTAAACATCTCTTATCTGAGGTCTCCATGGAACCTTAAAGTTCAAAATTCTTGTTACATAAGCAAATTCTGTCCACAGCAGTCTGAACTACTACTCATTACCTTCTCTCCTTTGAACATAAACTACTACTCACCTGCTTCCATGAATAATTTACTTCCTTAAACATGTAAACTGCTTTTTACCTGAAATAGCAGCTTTCGGCTTTCATCAGGCAGGTGTGAGGTTCTGGGGTTTTTGGTTGGTTGGTTGGTTGGTTTGTGGGTTTGGTTTTTGAGACAGGGTTTCTCTGTGTAGTCCTGGCTGTCCTGGACTCACCTTGTAGAATAGGTTGGCCTTGAACTCAGAGAGATCCTCCAGCCTCTGCCTCCCAAGGTCCTCCCAAGGGATTACAGGCGTGCACCACTGCACCTGACTCAGTGTGAAGTTCTTAAACGACTGCTGGACACTTGACGTTCAGGAAACTGATTAAGTCTGTAGAGTTTACTGACTGGGTGATTTTGGCATAAATTGACTTTGAGTGTGAGTGTGTGAAATGAGGATAAAACTGTGATATACAGATTTTATATAAATCTGGGCTGAAATTAGTGTCACTAGTTTCCACCCACTGGTCTTGTTCTAGCTGCTGGAACTAGACATCAAAATGTGAAACTCTTTAAATACTCAGTTACTTAGTTACACAGTTGGCCCTTGGTTTCTTTTTTCCAAGGTAACTATTCCTAGTACCTGTCATGGCTTGAAGGCTAGTAGTGTGGCTCAAAGGTAGGAGGCCCTGGGTTCCAGTCTAAGCAACACACAGGCACGCATGCACGCAACACACTACGTCACGAAACATAATTTCTTTTTTGGATTGTTTTTTGTTTGTGCGGTTTGGTTTTTGAAACAAGGTCTTTCTATGTAGCCTCGTCTATCTCAGAACTTGCTACCAGCTTGGCATTGAACTTAGAGAGCCACCTGCCTCTTCCTTCTGAGTGCCTGGATTAAAGGTGTATGCCACCAAATCTGACAAAACATAAACTTCACTTCCTCAATATTCTAGTTATTTCTCTCATGACCAGATGTGGTTAATCTTTACACTATAGTATGTCATTTGACTGTCAAGAGGGGAGGTAAGGTAGAATTATCATTTTCTTGCTCTACATGTTCTACAAATACAAGTTAATCTCAAAATGTCAGTCTACATGTTTGTTCACATTAATCATGAACGTAGTGAAATCTCATGCCTTTCTCATATTAAGTGGCAGTGCCCTCTCCCCACACACCCACACTTGTACCAGGAAGCTTGGGAACCTAATTGGAGACTTTACATTTATTCTATAAACCTTTTTCTTGCAAGATGAAGATCATAATTGAAATTTGTGGCAGTCTCTCAATGTGGCTTATAACATTTGATTATTGCAACCCCAGAATGCTGAAAACTCTCAGAATGCTGAAAACTAGTATGTGTGGAACCTTCATAAAAGGAGAAGTGATATTCTATACAAGAGGAGAAAACTGAAGACCAGTGAGTCTCCTGGGTAGTAAGTGTTCTTTCACCTTGCTCATCCATAAACCTCATAGCCACTCTCAGTGTTTGTCCATACAATATGACAAGGAGTTATATTAAAATTAACTCTGCCTGATTGGGGGGTCAAAATGATTACATATATAACACGAGGTTATGTAAGTTTAAGTACAGAGTATCGACTACCACAGATAAAAATCAACATGAGATAGTAGAACTTTCAAAGTTGATGCAGCGTAGTTTTGCCAGGCATGGTGGTGAACACTTGTTATCCCAACACTTGGGGAGGCAGAGGCAGGTGGATTGTTGTGAGGCTAGTCTGGCTTACAAAGCAAGTCTAGGACAGCCAAGGTTACACAGAGAAACCCTGTCTTGAAAAACCTAAATTAATTAAATAAATAAATAAGGTTTACTTTGGCTTACCGTTTGTATTTTCAGCTTTATTTAAATAATATAGTTGAGGACAGTAATTAAACATATCTATCTTAGACCCATACTTGGGTGCTTTCTACACACTCATTTTATTTTATATTGCAGATATAACAAGATATTCCATGTCTTTGTTAGATTATTTTACCCTTAATCTTACTTTATAATCTGAGATTGTATTTTATAATATCAGATGGAATAATGGCCTCTAAGTGAAGGAATATAAACTTTGATAGAGTCCACATCATAATGTCACATATCACAACACAGTGACACTGTCGTGCTGTTAAATAGAACTAGGTAATTCTCTGCTCTGTGTATATAATTCCATTTGGGAAAACTGAATATATCTATTATCAATATAAAGTATATTTGTGTGCTTATACACACATATATATATATGTATATTCTGACTTAAGAATACAACACTTAAATGGGCTAGAGAGATACCTCAGTAAGCCAGTCTCCCCCAAGCATGGAGACCTAAGTTCAGCCGCAGCACCACAGAAAAAGCGGGTGCAGCTGTGGGAGCCTGCACGGCAGTGCTAAGCAATAGAGCCAGGAGGGGTCCTGTCTTGCTCAACAGCTAGTCTAGTCCAGCAAGTGAGCTCCCAGTCCAGACTCTTTAAAAAATAAGGCGGAGAGTCATTGAGGAAGACACCTGACATCAACTACTGGCCTTCTTGCCCCCCCATATACATATTTATACACCCACAGATATGTACACACACACACACACACAAAACCCAACATGTACACACAAACATTTATACACACATATACATGCCTAGGGAAATAATTCAGTGGATAAACTGCTTCCTGTATAAATACACATACCTGCATTCAATTCCCAGAACCAATGTAAAAAGCTGCAGCTGGTGATACCTGACTGTAATTCCAAACAGTGGAGAGACAGACAGGCAGCTCCCTGGGGCTCCCTGGACAGCCAGCTTAGTCTGCTTGGTGAGCTACAGGCCAGGGAAAGATCCTGTCTCAAAAACAAAGTTGATGGTATCTGAAGAATGACTCCTGGGGTTGACCCCTGGCTTCTTCATGCCTGAGCACACACCCACACATGTTCATATATTAATAAGTGTCCACGTATATATGATGGTACTCGATGTCTATCTGTTTGTCTGTCTGTCTGTCTAGCTATTCTATTTATCTACCTTTATATGTTTATTTTGATCAGGTACAGGCTGGCCTTGACTCACTATAAAGCTGAAGATAACCTTAAACTTTTGATACTATTGCTTCTACTTCTTAGTTTTTTTCTTTGTTTTTGTTTTTGAGACAGGGTTTCTCTGTAGCCTTGGTTGTTCTAGACTCACTATTTTAGACCAGGGTGACCTTGAAGTCACTGCTGTAGGCCTGTCTCTGCCTCCCTTGTTGGTATTAAAGGGGTGTGCCACCACGCCTGGCTTCAAAGAGAATTTTTTATTATTTATTTTATTTTACTATATGGAGACAGGGTTTCTCTGTGTAGCTTTGGTTGTCTTGGAACTCACTCTGTAGACCAGTTACCCAGTGCGGTGGCACACACTTGTAATCCCAGCACTTAGGGAGGCAAAAGCCAATATATGTGAGTTTGAGGCCAGCCTGGTCCACAAAGCCAACTCCAGGACAGCCAAGGCTACATAGAGAAACTCTGTCTCAAAAAAGAAAAAATAAAAACCAAACAGACAAACAAAAAAGCATTACTCATTTTATATTAAAGTACTGTAAAGTACAAGAAACAGAGCTGGGAAAAGGGCTCAGCGGTAGAGCGCTTCCTTGCATACTGAAGTCTTGTGTTCAGTCCTTAACACTAAGCTAAACACATAGACGCGCAAGGAACAATGTAGGGTCTCTATTGGGGAAGAAGAGTGGAGGAGCTGGAGGGGAGGGAATGGAGGTGGATTGGGTGCAAACACATTCTATGCACATATGAATATTAAATAAATTACTTAATAGGAAAGTTTCTTTAGGCCCAAGGATAACATACTTGGGACACAAACAACTACATTAAAAAGCAATCATTTGCATTAAAATCGTTGTATTTTTCTCAGATATATCTCATACAGAGAAGCCAAAAAATAATTCAGGGAAAAGAATTATTAGTGGTGCAAATGACTTAGAAATATAACAAAGGAAATCATTAAGTCATCTTAAATTCTTCTGAAACAAAGTAAATAATCAGCCAACCATAAATCAGAGAAACAAATATAAAAAGACAAGTTAATTAAATTCATATCTAAAAGTCAGTTTTGGCCTTAAGTTAAATACCTACAAGTATTTTAATGCAGATGCTGACAACTTTGATCCATGTACAGAATCTGTTCTGACTCTGCGACTTGCTAGATAATAGCCATGAATCATTCTTTCTGCTTCCAAGCTGAATTCCATATTCAAATTCTTTGCAAAAGCCAGTAGCTAAGTTAAAAATATAAAAAAATTAAATTTTATTATGGACTCATTATAATTCCAAAGTGTACTGGCATCTGATTTTTAAAATTTCCATAATTTTTACATCAAACTTAAGTCAATATTTGGGCCATTTCCTAGCCACTGAGCATTTTAAGTCTTTGCCTTCTGCTTGTAACAAATATGAAAGTTTCCCTAGAAGAGCCTCTCTCACAGTGCACTATGCACCGGAACTGAACTACTAGTTGATTTTTGTGCTTTCAGTGAGATAAAGACTCACCTCTCTCAGAAGCTCCTCACCCAGTGCTAGGTTTAAAGGCATGTGCCACCACTGCCCAGCTTAATTTCTCTCTTGAATGGTTTAATCCTTACTTTATTTCTTCATAACTTACTCTCATTTACCTTAGAACTGCTACCTCCCTACTTCCCTTCTGTCTTTTCCCTTAGCTAGACACTTGTAGTTAGTGAGGAGGTACCATATTAGCTGCAATAAAGGTGAGTCCTGATGGTCTGGGGAGATCTGAGCAGCGAATAATTTTCTTAATCAGACATAATTTGTATTTATTTATTTATTTATTTAATGTAGACGAGTACTCTATCTGCATGTACACCTGCAAGCCAGAAGAGGGCATCAGATCCCAGTATAGATGGTTATGAGCCACTATGTGGTTGCTGGAAATTGAACTCAGGACCTCTGGTAGAGTAAACAGTGCTTTTTAACCACTGAGCCATCTCTCCGGCTTGAGGATAATTCTTCTTGAAATGTTAGATGTGTTTCTTCGGGAATGTGGACAGCATGCATTTGCCCTGGCATGAGTGTATCATCCTGGGCACTGAACTCAGGTTGTCTGGCTGGACATCAAGTGCCTTTATCTGCTGAGCCATCTCATTGGCCAGAGAATGACTCTAAAACACAGCATTCAACACTTGCTTTTCTTCCTGCATCTGTTATTCCTAGTTCCTTAAATCCTTACTCTATCAAATAATTTCCAGATTTCTTGCTTTACTATCTAAGCTGTTTTCTTTCTTCTTCTTTTTTTTTTTTTAAACTTGTAAGACCAAAGAAAACACTAGCCATTACCAGGATATATTAATTATGGTGTACAATTATTTTTTCTAGTACTGTGGGTTTAAACCCTGGTCATACACAGCTGGGAAAGGGCTGTACTGTCAGGCTGTATTGGCATCTCTGTTTTCTATATTTTACTTATAAGCTCTTTAAGAATCATATTGATACATCCTGGAATGGGCTTATCCTGTCTTTGTTTTTCTGTAATTTTCTCCAGGCCTCAGACTGAATGACAGCACAGTAGCTCTCTCTAAGTTTTCCTCTGCAGTGGCATGATGACCACACCGCTATCACCTTTCAGGATTTACTGTCTCAGCAGTGCTGTCAGCAATGTGTTCCAAGTGTCATCCCCTTCAGGGATTACTTCAGGACAAGCATATTATATATCTGATGGATGCAGAGGTTTAGAGGGATTCATGAAGTCCTTCTCTTTTTGTCTGAAGATAGACAACTCTGATGGGTCTCCTGAGCTCCAGAGCTTCCTGTAGGCTTCCAGATGTCGACACTCATCCTGCATTTCAGCTTGACTCTAACCTCTGTCCAACCTGGCTTCCTCCCTTCCTAAGTAATGACAGAAGAACACTTTATAACACACTACAGCAGTAAGTCCTGTCTTCTCCACATACCCAGTCCTCAACAAATTTTAGGCTCTTTGCTTTGTGTGGCAAATAGATTTTCCATGTTTACTATTTCATGTACCTAATAAAATTCACAATTGTTCTCTTCTATCTGAGCATCAAAGGCTTTTTTCAAACTGTTAAAGCCCTGAAATTCCATAATACATTTTGCTCCAGGCAAACTCCATATTCTCATAGCTTCCCAAATATATTGATTTCTACACCTATGTCTTTGCTTTTATGGTTATTTCCGCTTAAACAGGTATTATGGCAAGCCATAAAACATTTTACATTTCTTTCTCTCTCTCTTTATTTTTTTATTTTTGTTTGTTTGTTTTTGTTTTTCAAGACATTCACTGGGTAGGCCAGGCTAACCTTGAATTCAGAGTGATCGGCCTACCTCTGCCTGCTGAGTGCTCAGGTTAAAGGGGTGTGCCACCACTGCCTGGCATATTTTTAACATTTCTTGATGTCCAGCTAAATTCTCATCTCTTGCATTCTGCACTCATATTCTTATTTCTGAATGCCATATGTATTTCGTGATAGCAACACTTAGCTCGGCACTTAAGTTGCCCCCACATGTTTCCTGTACCTTGTTCCTCTCAGTTAAATAGCTACTTGAAAAGGAAATTGAATAGTCAAACAATGTGAATAACTGTGCTCACATGGCTTAGCTTAATTGTCTATAGAAATAGTCTTTTTAATATATTGGTCTTTTTAAAGCTATGGATATTTAGATAATAATAGAAATAATAAACTTAACATTTTTATACTGAAGTTTTCTTATACACCTGGTTAGTTATTTTTTTTCTGTACAATGTACTTAAAATGTTAAAAATCTGGAAGCAAGCTGGTAGGAAAGAATACCAGCTAAGCATGGCAGTAAATGCCTGTAATCGTAGCCCTTTAAGTTAGAAGCAGAAGGATCAAAGCTGTTCTTGGCCAGCATAGTGAATTCTAAGCCAGCCTGGGCTACATGAACCCTGTCTCAAAGTAAACAAAACAAAAGCAACTCGATAAAATCCTAGAAGAAGAAACAAATAGTGCCAAATAAACTTGTCTTTAAATTAAGAAGTGGGGCTGGTGAGTCAGGGCACTTGTTGCTAAGCCTGACAAGCTGAGTTGATCCCTGCAAGTCTCAGGGCAGGAGAGAACTGCATCGAACAAAGTTATTCTTTGACCTTTATGTGGACACTGTGTCCACACACATGCAAAATGTGTGCGCACACACCTACACACCGCACAAACAAACGAACAGATGTAAATATAAAAAAAATAAATGATTGAGAAACAATGAAATAGGCCTTTTGGGTAAGCATTATCTCTGCCTTTACCTTTTCAAAGTCTTCAGTTGTGAACTGTTTGGAGGCTAAATACAGCAGGCCCTCAGGATCCATCGCTTTCTTTAAAGTATGCTGCACAGTAGGGAGAAGTGGGTGGCAAGGAGATGAGTCATTGCAGTGAATCAACAATCCAAATGCCTCTGCAAGGTGAGCTGGAATCAAACTGCAGTCCTACATCAAACACAAAGGCAGGGCAAACTGTGAGCTAACTAACTGGAAATAGTCAAATACAAATCCATCTTTATAATAGTTCACTTCTCTAGTGATTATGTCAGTATTAACTACAGCTTAAATTCATTTCTGGAAAAATGTGAAGCTTGTGGAATACAATTTTTATTTTTTGTTTTTTCAAGACAGTGTCTCTCTACATTGCCCTGGCTGTCCTGGAAGTTGGTCTGGAACTCATAGAGATTCTCCTGCCTCTGCCTTCCAAGTGCTGTGATTAAAGGTGTTTTCCTTGACCCCGATTCCCACCCCTTGCTGGAATGCAACATTTTAAGAAAGTTCTTATCAAGTATTTATTGTATATTATTTAGTAAAGCCTTCCAGGGCTCAGGAAATACTTCCGTCAGTAACGAGCTAGCTGTATGAGGGAGAAGTACTGAATTTTATCCCCTAGAGCCCAGTCAGAAAGGCTTGGTGCTACAACAGGTGCCTGTAATTGCAGTGGGGTGGGGGTGAGGGTGGGGGGCAGAGACAGAAAGATCCCTTGGGTTTACTGGCTAGACAGTCTAGCTAAATTGGAGAATTCCAGAAACAGACTCTCTCAAAAAACTGGTAGACTGCAATTGATGAAGACATCTGAGTTGACCTTGACCACAAACACATATCCATGCACGCTCGCACACACACACACACACACAGAGCTTCTCAACTATTCGGATAGAAATTTTTACTGATTAGACATCTGATTTGCATGACTGAAAATTTAGAGGTATGATGTAGCTCAGACAAAACAAAAACAACTGGACCATTATTCAGTTGTAAAGTCTGAAAAAGTATATAAATGCAAGAACATTTTTGCTGGATATAATAGTGCGGGTCTGCACCCCAGCTCAGCACTCAGCAGGATGGCTAGTTGGAGGCCAGTCTGGGCCATCTAATGAGTTACAATATAACCTTGGCAATATGGTGAAGCCTTACCTAAAAAATGAGGAAGAAGAAGAAATAAAAGAAGGAAGAGGTTGGAAGGGGAGAAGAATATGAAAACAGACTAACAGTTCTCTGAGAAACACTTAAAAGCATTTTGTGTGTGTGTGTGTGTGTATGTGACAGCCTAGGATGGCCTCAAACATATAGCTGAGAATAACCTTGAATTCTAATCCTCCTGCTTCCATGTCTCAAGTTCTAGAATTACAGATGGCCTCTTAACAATATTCTAACAATAAAAAGGTCAGAGCGCTTACCATCTGACCAATCAGAGTACTGGTTTTCTGCAAATTTCTCTTTGAAGGTGAATCCATATCAACAAAAGACCAAAAACTGCACTGAATGGGAAAAGTCATTTGCTGATCAATATCATCCCCAAACTTCTTTCCTGGGATGAACACTGAAATGCTTCTGCTCTCCAAAACTGCATCAGAAGACATAATCCATGTATAAAAGATGCTGCACATCTGGACAGTTTTATTGTCAACCTTTTAAATTTTTGTTATTCTAGTAGATACCCTATATAGCTACAAGTTAATAACATATCATCATATGAAATTATACTAAAACAGATGATGTCACAAGGAAATCTGATTGCTTTAAAAGATATTGCTAAAATTAGAACAACTACCACAAAAGAAAAGAATGTCTGTGTGTGTTATTGGTTTGAGAATCACAAGCTGGAACTGTGGCTGGGCATCTGGGTGGGACAGGTGGTGGAGGAGGAGGACATTCACACAGTCGGGCTTTCATTGACCCAGGCTGGCCTCAAACTCACCAATAGCTCAGGATAATTTGGAACTTTCTGATCCTCCTTCCCCCCCGCCCCCAAGTGTTGTGATTACAGGTTTATCCACCGTGCAGTGCTTGGGATAGCTTTGTGCACACGAGGCACACACATGTATCAGCTGAGCCACACCCCCAACTCAGGAAAGTCCTTTATGTGCTAAAAGAATGAGGCCAAGCAGTCTGCTCAAGAGGGAATGTCAGAAGACAAAGGTAATGTGATCTATGACTGAGGGAAAAGGCATTTCAATTCAGGATGTTGAAAACCAAAGCCATTAAAGCCCTCTTCCACTTAAAACCCAAAGAAACAGTAAAACAGTAAGTAGAAATAGCCTACCCACATTTTCATCTTTCCTTCACACTTTCTTACATTCAATATATGGATTTAATCTTTCTTTTGATTTTTTTTATTTTTTTTATTTATTTATTTTTTTTTTTTTTTGAGACAGGATAGCCCTGGGTATCCTGGACTCAATCTGTAGACCAGGCTGGCCTCAAACTCACAGAGATTCCCCTGATTCTGCCTCCAGAGTGCTGGGATCAAAGGCATGTGTCATCACGCCCAGCTGGATTTAATCTTATTCTTAGGATTTTAGCTCACAAATGGATTTAAAAATTAATCTTTTGCTGGGCATGTCCAGGACAGCCAAGACAGATAAACCCTGTCTCGAAAAGCGAATAAATACATAAAAAGTAAAGTTAATCTTGTAATTCATTAAGCAGGCTTTTGTATTCACATGTTAGACTTCTGTCACTATAGAACAATACCTGATATAAGCAACTTCAAGAAAAGGCTCTTTAGGCTGTGCTTCTACAGGTTTTAATCCATCATGGTGGGACAGACAGAACAGCAGCTCTGTCATGGTAGTCAAGAAACACAGAGAGAAGGCTATGCTCTTCAGCTCCAGTAAAAAGTGACACATACACACACCATGTTTTTTTTGTTTGTTTGTTTTGTTTTGTTTTAAGATAAGGTTTGTTTGGCTATCTTGGAACTCACTCTGTAGACCAGGCTGACCTAAGAGATCCACCTGCCTCTGTCTCCAGAGTGCTGGGCTTAAAGGCGTGCACTATCTCTGCCCAGCTTGGATTGTAAATATTTAACCTTATAGAAATTGCCCAAGCAGTTTTCACAATGATTTACTATTTGCTACTCCCTCCAACAATACAAGAGCACTCAAAGGTTCTACATCCTCAAAGTTTTTCTTACCGATTGTTTAAAATGCCATTTTGGTAGGTAGGACTGGTTACTAGAGCCCAATGTAAAGCAAACATCTTGTATGTTGTTAAAAAGCAGGAAAAATACTTCTATTAAAAGTATCAATATGGGCCTGGAGAGATGGCTCAGTGGTTAAGAGCATTGACTGCTCTTTCAGAGGTCCTGAGTTCAGGACCCAGTTCAATTCCCAGCAACCACATGGTGGCTCACGACCATCTGTAATGGAATCTGATTCCCTCTTCTAGTGTGTGTGAAAAGAGCATTCATATACATAAAATAAATAAATCTTAAAAAATATATCAATATGCACAGTCTTACCTTTAAGTGTATTTTATATATAAGCTTATATTTATTCAATGAAATAGGCTGTTCCATAAAAGTAGGAAGCAAATTGAGTGTGAAGGAGAGCCTCTTTCTCAGTCAGGGATGGTAAGGAATATGAACTGCCGTCATGGTAAGAGCTGGTAAGGGGTTGGACTGCAGTTCATCAACAATGAATGAGATGTCACTGGGCATTAAACTGAGAGCAGACTGTGTCATCAAGGTGGCACAGAGACTGAAATGCTCGAAGAAGAAGGTGGCAGGCCACTGTTGACAGGCGTGGGTCTCAGTCTCACTGAGCCTCCCTTCAATCTATGACTTCAAAGGAAAAGCTATTTTAAAAATTTCCTTTTGGTAGTGCTGGGAACCAAACCTAGGGTTTTCTGGGTAAACACTCTCTCAATTATGTTATCCCCCAGCCTAAATTTAAAGATGGCAACAGCTGGGTTTGAACCCAATTTCTAGGCTCTTCTGGAGTAGGCACCTGTCCCTGCCCTCTATCTCCTTGTGGGCTTTATTTTCATTACCCTGATGAGCAATGATGCTCAGCAGTCATACATGTCAAGCATGCACTCTACTGCTGAGCCTACGATGTTCTGTTTTTTAAACTTTTGACTTAGGAAAACTTCCTCTATTCTGAACATACCCCATATATCTTAGTTCCTGGTCTATTGCTGTAAAGGGACACCACAAGCCAGGCAGCTCATAGAAGAAAGCACTTAATTGGGGGCTTTCTTACAGTTTCAGAAGGTTAGTCCATGATCATGGCTGGGTGAAGAGTGGCAGGCAGGCATGCTGCTGGAGCAGTAAGCTGAGAGCTTACATCCTAATTCCCAGGCAGAGAGGGGGCAGAGTATATGAAAAGGCCTGGGCTGGGCTTGTGAAACCTCAAAGTCCACCTCCAGTGAGACACCTCCTCCAACAAAACTATACTTCCTAATCCTTTCTACATAGTTTACCAACCAGGACCAGACGTTCAATGTATGAGCCTTTGGAGGCCATTCTCATTCAAACCACCACATTCAGACATACACACAAATAAGTAAATGGAAAGGCACACAGAAAGTTGCTTTGCATACACAGCTCTCTCTGCTTTCTGACTACGGATGCAAAGTGATGTGCTGCCTTGAACTGCCATCATTCTTTCCCTGACAAGATGGACTGAACCCTGAAACTGTGAGCCAAAACAAACCCTTCCTTCCGTACTCTGCTTTCCTTAACTATTTTGTTGCAGCAACAAGACAAGTAACTAATACCCATTGTCAAAGTAATACTATTTTGTAGCGGGCTGCTACTTAGCTGTTCTGTGTACTGACAGTAAGTCACTTTTCCCATGGTCTGACAGTGTTTACTAAAACCTTTAAAATTCCAGTAAGGATAAGGACCAAGTGCTCCCAAAGACACATTCCTCCCTAGGTCTGATGTGCTCCTGTCCTGTGTGAAGCACTTCTTAAATTCAGAACTTTATAAAGCAGGAGCTAGAGAAGGGATTTTGGAGAGTGTTGCTGCCTGTAAGCTATCAAATATTCCATCAGTGACCTCTAATTAATCTATTTACTTATCAAGCTGGACTCGTACCTGTTATTCTTTGGTACACTGGCATTGTCCAATATGTAGGTAGGCAGCTCTTTTACGCCTTTCCAGAAAATTTACACAGTTATTCACTCTAATGAAGTATTACCTATCTCAGGTATGCTATCCTGGTCCAATATTCAAAATTAATTAATGAGGAACTGGAGGGATGGCTCAGTGGTTAAGAGCACTGGCTGCTCTTTCAGAACACCTAGGTTTGACTCCCAGAACCAACATGGTGGCTCACAACTGTCTACAAATCCAGTTCCAGGGATCCAGTGTCCTCTTCTGGCTTGTGGGAGTACCAGGCACACATGTGGTAAACAGATATACATACATGCAAAACATTCACACTCAAAATAAAATAGTAAAACCCAAAGCAAAATCAATGTAAGCGATAAAAAAATCACATAATCAAATTAATAGATATAAGAAAAAAGATCTGACAAAATCCTGTACTGATTCATAATAGAACATCTTGGCAGAGTGGGAATAGAAGGAAATTCTTTTTTTGTTTTGTTTTGTTTTGTTTTACTTTATTTTATGTGTATTGGTGTTTTGCTTTTATGTATGTCTGTGTGAGGTGTCAGATTCCCTGGAACCAGAGTTGTAGACAGTTGTGAGCTGCCATCTGGGTACTGGGATAGAACCTGGGTCTTCTGGAAGAGCAGCCGGTGCTCTTAACCATTGAGCATCTCTCCAGCCTGAAGGAAATCTTTTCATCGTGGGTTTTAAAACTAAATCAACAACAAAAACCCCAGTTAGCATTACACTTAATGGTGAGAAATCTGAAGAGCAATTGAAGAACAACTGAAGAACAATTTTCCACATTGTGCTAAAAGACTTAGATGATGCAATAAGACAAAAAGGAGACAAAGTGGTGCAAAATAAAGTCATGTATTAAAACCCAGAGTAAAGGCCAAAACAATGCATTAGCAGATTAAATTCTTGTTTTATTTCTAAAATCAAAGTGAGAGCTAATATTTGGTTTAGTTTCCATCTCCTCAGCCCCATGCAGAACTATCTCAGCTGCTAAACAGCTCCTCATACTGGTAAGAGGAGTTTAAACTGGCAGGATAATTTGAGAAAGTGTTGTTTACCTGATTGGAGCTGTTCAAGTTTATCTTTCTTATGTGCTGTCAGGTCTCCTATGAAGCAGATACCACCCTTAGCTAGCAAAGCACTACCAGCTTGAACGCTTACTGCTCCAGTTCCATATTTATTTCCGGACACAGTTGGAAAAACTTCAGTCAAGACAGGATGATGTATACCGCGTGAGACAAGATTCATGCTAAAATTCAAGAGCCTAGGGAAAAATAAATTACTCATTGGTGATATTTAATCATTGATTTCAGAGGTCATTACATGTTAACAACATATTTAAATTTAATTTGGTCTAATGTTTATCGAGCACTACATATATGAAAACTTGTATTTTATTTGGACAACTTACAGTGTAGAGAGACTTAGAGAAATAATTTATACTAGGATAATTCTAAAATAATTTATTGAGACTACCCAGAGGAGACTATTATTTTCTTTTACAAAGGAATCAGAGAAAGCTATAGAAGGCAGCAACATTTCAACTGGATCTTTGTCTTTTTTCTTTGTTTGAGATAGGGTTTCTCTGTGTAGCTCTGGCTGTTCTGGAACTAGCTCGGTATAGCAGGCTTGCCTCAAACTCACAGAGATCAGCCTGCCTCTGCCTCCTGAGTGCTGGAATCAAAGGTGTGCGCCATCACTACCCCGTGGATCATTGTTTTGTTTTTTTTTTATAGATTACTTATTTTTTTTTATATATTCCAAGTTTGTTCATTAGGTTTGTCAATGCCCTATCTTTACTTTTTTTTTGCTGTTTCTGTATCATAACTCTTTTTTTTTTTTTTAAATATTATTGTTAACTGCCTCAACGTCTTTAATTCAAATTATGAGAAAGGACCATTACCTTAGTTTAGTGTTAGGGTAAATTGGAGCTATCCTCCAAGCATTCATGTGTTGGGGGTTGGTTAGACTATTGGCTTGGGCAAAGTGCGTGGACCCTGGTGGTTCCAACCTGATCAATGGAAGGAACCACACATGATGGCAGATTTAGGAGGTAGGGCCTCTTAAGTAAGTCGGTCACTATGGGCATTCCCTGATCAATTAGACTGTCTCCTCCACCCCTCCCTGTTTCTATCTACCAAAGTTGTTTTTCTCTGTCATCATGTTCTGCCTCATGTAAGCGATAGACAAACTGTGAGCCAAAGTGAATCTTTTGTCCTTTGAATTGTTTCTCTTATATGCTTACCACAGCATAGAAACGTCTGCCTAATGTGGCTGTCTTTCAAATCCTTACCACAGAAATTTTAGCTTTCTGAACATCTATGATGACCAGATATAGACATGGGATGTAAAAAGATCTAGGTAGGTCCCTTAGATTGTAGCTAGACAAGTGCCAGAAAATGTGTTCAGTGTATGCATCATCAAGCGGAGTAAACACTACTCTGGGGTTATGTAACACAGAGGACACATCAGAAGGAATGTTTCCAGCCTGAAATGAGCAGTGGTTCCAGCTGTGGGCCATATGAAAATCACGTAGAGAGTTTGTTTTGTTTTAAAACAAATTCTAATGCCCATCTCTCTCTTCAGCTACTTAAAACAGGGTTTTTGGAGGTAGTATATAACTTTTTGAAAATAACTAATTTTTTGAACTATGTAGCCTTGCATGGTTTCAAGACTGGATAATCAGGACTGTGTACCAATGGCCTAATTATAGACAAAACCAAACCAAAGCACAACAAAAAACAACAAACCCCTTACAACAGGAAATAAAGTTTGAATAGATTCATGCTGTGGTTTAATTTTAAACTTGGTACTAGAATCATTAAATGAGGAAAGAGAGTCATAACAGACGATGTGGAAACTACACTGGAAAAAGATCAACTTTCACCATACGACAACACATGCAAAATTCTAACTGAAGGCAGGCTGGACAGCTCACTGGATTAGGACACTTGCCAGGCAACTTGAGTTCCATCCCTGGAACACATGCAAAGGTGCAAAGAGACAATCAACACACAAAGTTGCTCTCTGACCCCCACATGCACTCTGTCCCCACAATAGGAACACACAGGGAAAATGTTACATTGAACACAGAGAAAAGACCCAACAAAACGCCAAAACATTGTACTTCTAGAAAGACACAAAGAATTGTCATGACTTTCAGGTAGGCAAAAAATTTTTAACTGGAACCCAGAAAACATGAAACATAAGAGAAAAACAAATTGGAAGTTGAAATTCTCAAAATGAAGTATCTGTCCATCACAGACACATTTCAGGAAACTCATAAAAAAACGTTCAGATTAGAAATCTCACAGTATGCTCATGACAAAAATACATCTAAACAACTTACCTAAAAAGTGAGAAAAATGTGAACACTTAAGATATACAAGCAGAAACTACACCTGTGAAAACCACTTGTGTCAGCAGAAATTAGAGAATGCAAGTAGGAATCCTGAGGGATCCTTTCACTTTTACTGCAAGAGCTCATATAAAAAATGAGCGGGTGGTGGTAGCACATATTTTTACTTATAGCACTTGAGAGGCAGAGGCAGGCAGATCTCTGGGTTCACTATGTAGACCAGTCTGTAGCTGGTCTACATAGTGAGTTTCAGCCATGGCTGGACAGCCAAGGCTACACAGAGAAACCCTGTTTCAAAAAACCAAACCAAAACAACAACAAAAAGATTGACAGCACCAATGTTGTTAAAGGCAGAGACGAATAGAATCCTTACATTGTTGGCAGGAATGTAAAATGGCCTAACCACTTTTGAAAACTATTCGATAGTTTGTTATAGAATTAAATGTGCATCTACTTTTATGCCCTAGGAATGATCCTTGAGGTCTTTATCCAGTAAAATGAAACATTCCACTAAAGTTATACAAGCATGGTCACAGCAGGGCTGTGCTGCACCTACGCCAGTGTTGCCATAGTAGCATAAGCTACAGGGAGGGGGATACCCTTTCTCCGGAAATTCGCCCCCTGGAAGGTCCCTGGCAGACTCATCCCACTTGGAAAAGAGACGCGTTCTGAGATTTCTACGCTTTTTCAGTTGTGGCTCTGGGGCTGGAATAATGAATTCTTTGATCTTTCTCTGTGACTCCTGAAACAGCACAACTAATTTTATAAAGAAAATTTTTATTAGTAGATTGTTAAAGGCTTTAATAAAAATAATATGTAAAAGGAATAAGTTTAAGAAAAGTAATGAATTAGATTTAGTATCAGAAGACATTATAAGAACAGAGAAAGAAATAATGGGCTCCTTCTTAAGAAAAAATAACAGGAGAAGTACAGCTGGCACGAGTTTACCCCTCCCTTCAGCATCTTGTTTCTAGGGAAGATCATAAATCTTTAGCAGGACATAATGGAGGATGGTGTTGACAAAGGTGTGTTTAGACTTTGGCAGGTATTGACTTGGCTCGGAGGACTATTACAGCTCCTGACTTTCCTCTTCACTAGTCAGTGATAATGAAACCATAGTTTGAGGTTTTTGTTTCTTGTTTGCGTTGATCAGAAAGTTTCTAGGCAAAGATTTCTTGTGGGCACTGCCCTATGTTAAAACATAAGCATGCCAATTTTAAGGTGCTTCCTTGTGAGATCACTATAAAAATACTAGCTTGACTTCAGTAAAGTTGCAGCAGAGTCAAAACCATCAAGGTGTCTCTGTCTGTCAATTCTTCGTCAAAACCGTGTCTTCCTGTCCAAAGCCTTGTTCTCCCGCGGACGACGGGAGCCTGACTGGGCCAGTCCGTGGCAGGGCTGGGCATGTAGCTACATGGTGGAGGGTTTGTCTAGTACATACCAACTCTTGGCATTGATCTCTAACACCAAAAGATTAAAATAGTCAGAACAGTATTTATAATAGTAAAATCATGCAAAACCCAGATATTCCTCATTGGGAGAAGAATAGAACATTGTGGCATTCTCATATCAAAGGACACTACTCAGCAATAAAAACAACAAACTACTGATTTCTACAAGTGAATCAATCTTAAAAACACACTGAGCCAGACAGACTATACTCAGAAGAGGACAGTTGTTACTATGAAGTTCAAGAACAGAAAATTAACCGGGCGGTGGTGAGCAGAAGAGGCAGAGGCAGGAGAATCTCTGAGTTCAAGGCCAGCCTGGCCTACAAAGTGAGAGTTCCAGGGTTATACAGAGAACCCTTTCTCAGGTGGTGAGGGGATGGGAATGACAGGAAACAAAGTTACCTTATGGCGATAAGAAATGGAAGAAGGACTGAGGTAAGATTTCAGGGTGATAAAGTATTGCTTTATTATGGGTCTATAAGAGTGTATATATGTGTGCTGGGTAGTTGTCACCTTGACACAAACAATTGCCACCTGGGAAAAGGGAGCCTCAGCTGAGGAACTGCCTCCATCAGATTGGTCTGTGGGCATGTCTGACAGACATTCTCTTGATTAATGACTGATGTGGAAGGGCCCAGCCACTGTGTCCGTGTGGGCAGGTGGTCCTGGGTTGTGTAAGGAAGGTAGTTGAGTAAGCCACAGAGAACCAGTCAGTGATCAGTGGCCTTTTTTGGTTCTGCTGTCAGTGCCTGTGTATAGGTTCCTGCCCTGACTACCCTCCATGTTGGACTGTAACATGTAAGCTGAAATAAACCCTTTCCTCCCACAAGGTGCTTTTGGGTCATGGTGCTAATCACAGCAATGTAAAAAAAAAAAAAAATCAGTGAAACTCATTTTTTTGTTGTTTTTAAATAATAATGATAATTGGGGCTGGAGAGATGGCCCAGGTGTTAAGAGCACTGGCTACTCTTCCAGAGGTCCTGAGTTCAATTCCCAGCAACCACATGGTGGCTCACAACCATCCATAGTGAGATCTGGTGCCCTCTTCTGGCCTGCAAGCAGAACACTTTATACAAAACAAATAAATCTTAAAAAATAATTGGTGCAATCTATTGCACTTAATACCATATTGATATTGCCAATGATGACTTAATTTTAACCAAACATTTTCTAGTAAATAAGTTAAGCCAATTTGAATTAAAAATATTTAATTCTAGAAGTCTATTTTTGCTTCAAAACTGCACACTGGCTATACAAAGCTTATTCTTTATTTTTTTTTATGATTTATTTGTCTATTATATATATGTGCTCTATCTGCATATACACCTGCATGCCAGAAGAGGGCATCAGATCCCAGTATAAATGGTTGTGAGCTATAATGTAATTTCTGGTAATTGAACTCAGGACCTCTGGAAGAGCAGACAGTGTTCTTAACTGCTGAGCCATCTCTCCAGCCCCAAGTAGCTTATTCTTAGCTTCATGACCCCTTCAGTAACCTCCTTTTAAAGGAACTTACTAAGAAGTAAGCACTTATCCCAGATCAGTTTACTTACCCCCAAAGTAAACTGGAGTGAATTTCTCAGCTATTCATATATAGGGAATGTGTGTCACTGAATGGAATCTGTAAGAATAGTAAGAAAATGGCCACTGAACCCTACATGGATGGCTATTTGAAAATAAAAGGATAAAAGCAGGATGCCGAGTTAGAGTGTGGGACAAGGAAGCCTGTGGAGGATGCCTTTCTAAAGGTCTGGCTAGAGAAATGGGTCTAATTTTGAAGTTAGATTTTTTTAAATATCAAAAGCAAATATTTCAGTTCTACATGCATGTCTTAAAAGTTTTGAACTTTGTGGAGTTTGGTGGCACATGCCTGTAATCCCAGGACTCAGAGAAGCAGAAGCAAGTGGATCTCTGTGAGTTCAAGGCCAGCCTGGTCTGCAAACTAAGTACAGGACAGCCAAGGCTACACAGAGAAACCCTGTCTCAAAAAACTAAAAGAAAAAAAGTTTCAAATTTTAACCTGGACAGCGGTGGCACATTCCTTTGATCAAGAGGCAGAGGCAGGGGGATCTCTGAATTTAAGGCCAGCCTGATCTACAGAGTAAGTTCCAGGAAAGCCAGGGCTACACAGTGAGAACGTGTAAAAAAGTTCTGAACTAGTAAATTGTTGTGGCCCACGCCTTTAATCCCAGCACTAGGGAGGCAAAGGCCAGCCTAGTCTACAAAGCAAGTTCCAGGACAGTCAAGGCTACACAGAGAAAGCCTGTCTTGAAAAACAACAACAACAAAAGTTTTGAACTTTATTAATAACAATGTATTTAAACACATTGGTACTTAGATGAGTTCTAAATAATCATCCTATAGTAATATCAGGAAGAAGAACACATACAAATTTGTGAGCAATATATAATTTGAAAACTTCATGGCATGCATCTTACCTGTCTACAAGCAGAGTGTCACTGGTTATAATTAAAATATCCAAGCAGTCTTCTGGTTTCCTACTGCAGTCTCTTGTCTGTACTAGGCTCATCAGCAAACACAGTTTGAGCAGATTGTAAGTCCCAGGAGGAACAATCTGTGATGCAAAGATGTTGGCAAGTATTGCTGTGAATTTCCAGTTTGAGCTGGAAGTCAGGGAGTGGAGACACCTGAAGTTGTCACTGATTCCTGAAGGAACTGAAAGAAAAATAAAAAGGAGGTATTTGATTCCACTTGTCCAAAATAATATAAAAATATAATCCTTTTAATGTGCCATGCTCAAATTTTATGAAATTATGTTTGGTGGTCATGCTCATCTCTCATTTCTTTCTTTCTTCCTTTCTTTTTTAAAAGACTGATTATCCATAGTGTTCTACCTGCATGTATGCATGCACGCCAGAAGAGGCACCAGATCTCATTATAGGTGACAGTGAACCACCATGTGGGTGCTGGGAATTGAATTCAGGTCCTCTAGAAGAGCAGTCAGTGCTCTTAACAGCTGAGCCATCTCTCCAGCCCTCATCTATCATTTCTTATCTTTGTCACCACAAGCACCCATGTGAGTTGGTTGTTAACCGAATGACAAATCACAGAATCATTTGTTCTCCTTTGAGGTCTGTGTGAGGCAAAAGGGATGAGGCTTCTTTACTGCTGTATTTGTTCCTGTCAGGAAGCACCTGAAGATTTGTTTTCTCCTACTTTGAAAGCACCAGACTATGCTACACTGTACCATTCTAAATCTTCTCCACTGGACTCTACCAGCTCCTGGTGAATGATAGAGGGCTGCATGGTAGCCCTGCTCTCTTCTCGGCTGCGCTCACAGCACAGGCCTCCAGGAAGGCCTTAGTCTAACGCTTGAATCCTACAGTTCAATGGAAGAAAGCACATTCCACCTACATATCAGTTATGTTCGCTTACAAGCCAGTAAGTGGTGAAGCTCTTCACAGTTCATGAAAATGCTCATCAAACTTGGTTTATATTGCTTTTGCTTTCGTCAACAGTTTCCTTCTTTTAAGAATTCTCTCCAAGATAAGCTGAAGTATCTAGAATTCACTTGCATTTAAATTCAAGTTGTACTGTGCAGTGGTGGAGGACACTTTTACTCCCAGCACTCAGGAGGCAGAGGCAGGCTGATCTTTATGAGTTCAAGGCTAACCTGGTCAACAGGGCAAGTTCCAGGACAGCTAGGGATACCCGGAGAAACCCTATGTTGAAAAAAAAAAAAAAAAGTAAATTCAAGTTGGGCTTCTATCAATGTAGATTCTAAACTTCCCACTATTCTAGCCAGCCTTTGCTATTTCGATCTCAAAGCAAGTGAAAACAGCAGGGCTGCTCTCTATTTTCTAGTTACAGAATGCTAAATTATGCTGGAGCTGTCCAGAGATGCTGTTGGTGAGGAAGGTGGTGTTTTAGTCCCCTTGCCCTTTTCTACTCTCTATTCAGGACCCATGAAGGCAAAGGTACTGCTTACCGATCTCTTCTTCCTCGGGCCACAGCAGTTACTAGGAACTTCCTTAGTGAGAAAACATTACTTAACTCTTGGTACCCTGAAAGATGTTCTGCTTCTTATTATGTCATCAGCTGACCTTCGGCCTCTGCCACCACGCCATAGGCTTGCCAAGTGTTCACCACCATGCTAAGAAAACTATCAGTTTTCTCATTGGTAACTTTTAAAAAGTCAAGGTAAGATTTAGTTCAAGAAAGAGGTCCTCAATTCCATTAAGACTGTAACTACCTTGTTTTTTTCCTTAATAACACAACAGTGGGGACTGTTTCATTGGCTGCTTTTGTGATTTCCATTTGGAGGTAGAGCCTTGCAATGATAACCCCGGCTGATCCCCACTCATTTCATAGCTCAGGCTGGCCTCAAGCTGAGCTCCTCCTGCCTCAGCCTCCCAAGTGCTGGGATTCCTCCTATGCACCTGGACTGGTGGCCATCTGACTGACAGCCTACCATGAGAAAAGAATAGACAGCCTGATGTTCTGTTTTCCTGTTTCTACTGCTGAGAAGAGGGCCTAGCAGAAAGGTAAGCAACACTGTTTGCTGGACAGATGGACTCAAATATGTTAAACCGTAATCTTCCTTACCTTTTGCTGTGTAAGGAGTGATGCTATTTGCTTCTACACAGAGAGCAGTTTGTGATGTTTTGACACAGACGGGAATTCCAATAATTTTATATTCATTTCCTATTTTCATTTTATTCACTAGCTCATCTATGGTTATCAAACACAAAAGAAAACAGCATTCACTAAATGAAAACTGCGAATCATTGAAAGGTTCAAGGATCTGAACCAGTGCCAATTCAGGAGTCAAGTTAGTAGTGAACTATTTATGTTTGTTTGATATAGTACCCACATGCGGTACCCGCAACAATGGAAACCAAGGCCTTGTTGTTGTTGATACATGTTGATATTTATGGGCAATGTGAATTCGCTTCAAGAGGCATGTGAAATAGCAATTAGGATAATTAAATATTCACCTATAATGCGGTCAAGAAGGAAAACGCCATCTTACATAAGATAAAACAATTAAGTGCTAATGAATGTTAATAAACATTAGCATGTAACATTATTTATTTAGAAATTAAGTTATTTGAAAAGATACCACTCACTTTCTACAGCATTTCTGAGGTCTTGTCTGTGTGCTCTTGCATACCAGAAGTGTAGATGGCCTCACCTGTACCTCATTCGTGAGAAAACGAGAGAGCCAGCAATCTGTGCAGAGCCAAGTCGCTAGCAAGTGGCAGAGCCAAATGCACAGCTAGTCCAGTCCTCAACCCACCCTTTTATACTAGGCCATGCTCTTCTCACACACGCAGGCTGGGCAAAGCTTTTAAATTCCATCACGTGTGTGTATGTCCTATGTATGTGTGGGTGTGCATGTGCCATGGTGCATGTTGGAGGTCAGAGAGCAACTTCCAGGAATCAGTTCTCTTCTTTTACCATGGGGTTACAGTGATCACCTCAGGCTGTCCGGCTGGGCAGCAAGCACTTTTCCCTGACAAGCCATCTTACCAGCCCTCCAGGCTTATTTTTGAAGTGCAATTAAGGACTTAGAAAGATGATTCAGTCAGCAAAGCGCCTGCCATGCTTTTTCTGAGTTCTGCCTAGTTTCCTAGTGCCCACATAAAAAGCTGGGCATGGCAGGTTATACCCGAAACCTCAGTGCTAAGTGGGAAAGGAGGAGGACAGGCAATCTCTGGAGCTCATGGGCTAAGAGACCTCCGTAAGATGCCCAGTATTGACTTCTGTGCATGCCCTCAGGAACAAATGACTATACTAAACACACACACTCTCTCTCCCTCTCGCTTACCTCTTCTCTTTCCTCTCCTCTCTCATCTGAACACAAGCACTGAAAGTCTCAAGACAACCAAACAACAATGAAAAAACACAATTAAAGGATGTAGAATTACAGCAATCATCTCTCCAAATGAATACTTTCAATTTCTCAAATTTTAGCACACAGAAAAAGGAAAAGCTCCATTGTCACAATTCTAGCTCCTTTCCTGGTGCTGTGAGCAATGTCCTCCTTGTGGCTGACACCTGCCTCCTCGTACTTACCCATCAGTTATCAACACAGAGTCATGACCGTCATTCTCAAAGTTAGCAAATATTTACTAATGTAGCAACATCCATAACTCTTTTCTTTCATCATATAGTATGTATATATGGGGGGCAGCATTTATCTGCACTCGTGCACATAGTAGCCAGTGATGTAGCCCAAGAGGAAGATGATCTAGAAGAGGCCACTCCAACCAGCATCCCCAGCTTGCTGGAGCACAGCTTCCAGGAGATCCTCCTCTGTGCTGGACATGGCAGTCATGCTGACTTCCTCCCAGCTGCTGCAATGCACACCTCTCTCCTGGGACTGCATGCTGTAGGCAAAGGCAAGTGGTGGTGGGGCTTGAAGTCTCCAGTGCTCGGGAAGGCTGTCAGGGTCTGGCTAGCGGATCCCACCTTCCCCTGGCAGGACAAACCAGGATGTGAGGTGGGGTTGGTGCCTTGAGTCTAGCCCTTCTCGCTCTGGAATTCTCTGGCCAGGGAAGCTCTGGCCCTGGAGGACATCGAAGTGGTGGGGTGTACCGCCAGGCCCACCTCCCGAGCTGCGTGGGAAGCTGCAGTCTCTGCCGAGTGTCTCACCTGTGCCTAATTTTTTCTTTTGAGATGGGGTCTCACTGGTCTTGACTTAAAGTGCCTCTGAGTGCTGGGATTGAGCATGCACTGCTGCACCCAGCTCTGTTAACTAATGTTAACACCACACACACACACACACACACACACACACAGAGAATAATGTGACATCAATTGGCCATGACCCTTGGACTTGACAATTCTAGGTAAAGGTGACTGTCCATTCTTAAGCTGTCAATATACTTAACAAAATGTGAGCACAAACAAGGTGGTTGCATATTTTATAGCAACTTGTTTTGAATTCAAACAGAACTTTACCTACCTCTTAGAAAAACACTGAGTGATTGAAACCTAAATGGCTGGCTTTTAGAATCTCCTTGAAAAGCATGAAGCACTTTTGTGGTAATTATTTCAACTATCTGTTTATCTTAAGGTAAAGGACAAAAAGAAAATTGTTAATAGAATACATATTCAGTTTAAGTTTCCTATTAACACAAGACACTATTTGAAAATTAACACAAAATGTAAGTGTATTTTTTTTTTTACCACCAAGTACTCTAAATTTTCTGTCTTCTTGAAGTGGAGATGAACACAGATTGCACAAAAAGTCATTTCTTACTGTTGCAGATTCAGTAGCACCAGGTACATGGACTCTTATATACTGAAATCCTGAAAGAAAACACTGGTGAGCTCAGAGGCTCTCAGTTTTGTCTATTTCTATCATTTAATATTATTAGTGTGAATTTCTTTTTTTCCTTCCTTCCTTGGGACAAGGTGTCACTATGTAGCGCAGGCTAGCCTTGAACCCTCCATCCTCTGCTTTAGCCTCCCAAATGCTAGCAACATGTTTTTTTGTTTTTTTTTTTTTTCTCCAGGCACTGTACTAGGGCACTAGTAAATGGACACTTAAATACACAATTTCTCTGTGTGGTATCATTTGCAGAGAGCTCAGGGAGGAGAGAGGAAGCATCTGACTCTGCTTGCCTTGGTGATGAAGGGAAAAGAAGTCTCACAGAAGGGCTGGCTGGTTACATCTTCAGCAGAGGGAGTTGAGTGAGCAAACAGTTCTCATTTGTTATTCCAGAACTATATAAGCATTTATTAAACTGTGGAGTGTGGGGAAGACTGTTTCAGGTTATACACAATAAACCATAATGTCTCCATTTATCACACTTTGGTTAGCCACCAATTGTGAATGTGGCCTGGAATGGAACGGCTTGACTTTTCATTTCTCGTTGGACACTGACCTTTTGAAAAAGGGCATGCTTCATCTGAACAGAGGAATCTTGCACCTTGCGTGTACTTGGTTACGGTTGTCATTGCGATCACAATTCCTTGCATCATGTAAAACCTCTGAGATGTATAATTAAGTGGAAACTCACAAATATCAAGATTATAACTTGGCAGGGGAGGCAAGTGTGTTAACTTCAGTATAATATTGATCTGATAAGAACAAAAAAGGATATTAATAAAACTTGTAACCCAATTGAACTTGCCTTATTAAGTAGTAAAAATATTATATAATTTGTTATTGTTGCTGTGAACCAAATATTAAGCCAGAGAGAAAGATAAAATATAAATACAAATCCTATAACATTTTAATTAAGATTATCACAATGAACTCATTGTTTTTCCTTAAAAATATACATTCTCTGGATATATATATACACACACATACACACACACACACACACACACACACACACACACACACACACAATGAGAACCCAATAGCATTGGACACTTTTGTGCCCAAATCGTGATTTCAAAATATTAATTCTCACTAAAAGGGATCAGAGCTCTTCAGAGGGAAATTAATAATTCCAAGTCTGTATAAGAAAATATAGGAGATGGCATTAGGGCATCTTCTTTAAATTACTTTAAAATCATATGCACACACAGACACACATGCACGCATGTGAAGGTCAGAAGACAAAAAGTGATGATCAGTTCTCTCCTTCTACCATGTGGATACTAGGGATCAAATTCAGGTAGCCAGGCTTGGAGGCAAGTGCTTTTACCTGCAGACATAGTAAGGAGTTAATGAAATCCTCTTGTTGAAAATGAGAACAGAAATATTGGTCATCATTACAGGTTGCTACTAGTTTTCACTGCTCTTCAAAACATTTAAAAGGAAAACAATTAAATATTGGAGACTTGGATAGCTCCATTGATAAGGTTCCTGAGCCTTAATCTGAGAGTCCAGAGTTCAATTCCCTGGAAGTTTAAGAGTGGCTCAGGCTGTGGCTCAGAATTCAAACAAAAGAGAGCATTGAGAAAAATAAAATGGGGCTGGACAGATGGCTCAGCTGTTAAAGGCTAGGCTGACAACCATAAATATAAGAAAAATAAAATGAAAAAATAACCAAATATTTATCTTGCCTTTTCCAGATAAATAAATAAATGATAAATAATAACTTATTTTTAGTTTCTTTTTTTCAGTGTTAGAGATTAAAATCAGAGCCTTGCTTATTCTGGGTAAATGCTCTCCTATATCCCAGGCCAGACAATTTCTTATAGAATAATCTCAGATAATAAATTCAGAAAGAAGCCGGTAGGTGGTGGCGCAAGCCTTTAATCCCAGCACTTGGGAGCAGAGGCAGTTGGATCTCTGTGAGCAAGATCCAGGGCAGCCAGGGCTACACAGAGAAACTCTGTCTCAAAAAAGCAATCAATTAATCAGTCAATCAATCAATCAGACAGGGTGGCAAAATTAGAAAAATAAAAAATTACAACTGCTAATGAAACGGTAGCTCCCAGTATTCTAAAACCATCAGGTGAAAGTCGATAAGAAACTGTATAATGCAGAAACCAGAAAGAACATCTGAACAACTGATGAACTTTGACAGCTATAAAAACGGCATCTATTATATCCTTATGATATGTATATATAACATATAATACTATAAGTGTGTTGTTAAAATAAGCTGAATCTAGACCTTAACATATGTGGTACTGCAAGAAAGAGATTAGATAGCTCCAGATGCATAATATTTTACAGGACAATTAACCAGTTTTTTTCTTAAGTCAATGGTATAAAAAAGGAAGGAGTCCAGGTAGCATTAGACTGAAGACTCAGTAGGTTCTTGAATCTACTGCAATGTGCAATGTGTGACCCTTGAACCTTGATGCTGGCTGAAGATAACCTTAAACCACTAATCTTCCTATTTCCACCTCCTAAATGATGGGATTATAGGGCATGCACTCCCTCATCCAGGCCTTGGTACTGGCTCAAAAAAATTTTTTTAACCTCTTGAGATAAAATTGGAAAAATTAAAATATGGATTAGATATTAGATGATATCAAGAAAATATCACTGATGATGACACTGTGACTACATAAGAAAAACACAACAGTTTTTAAAAGTTGATCCAAACATCTGGGTTTTGCTTTAAAGTATTCCAGATAAATATAGCTGGTGCATATATAGTATATCAACCAAGTTTAAATGACGGACATATGGAGGTCCATTTTATTAATACCTTTACTTTTGGATATTTTTAAAATGGTTATTATAAAAATGTTTATTCTTAAAAGTGATATTAGAAGGTAAAAATGAACCATATTAAGGTATTTGTGGTTAATGTACTGAATGTCAACTTGCATTCAGGAGCACCAGAGATTAGTGGAGGACACGGGTAAACAAGTTGTTAGGGGTGTTTCCAGAAATGACTGCCCATGGAGGCAGACCTGGGACACTTACAGCACTGGAGCCTATCCTTCCTCCTTCAAATTGCTTCTGTCAGATAAACTTGACACAACTTTTAAGACAAGATCGACTACCTAACCTGAGTTCCATCCCCTGAACCCACACGGTGGAAGGAGAGAAGCTGGAGGCCTCTCATTGTCCTCTGACCTGCAGACCTTGGCGGAATAAGCATGAGCACCCCTCAAATAAAAGTGATACATAAATGTAAAAATACAGAAAAAAATCTGACAGAGCTTTATAAGATGTACTCTACTCTTTAAATTATTAATGTATTAATTACTCTAAAAAAAACAGTAATTTGTAAGTTATTTTGAAAATTTGTTCCTGAGTTTTAAAGACTAGAGGTTAATTAAAACTTACTTGAGTTTCAGTCTGCAACTGTCCAATTAATGAGAGAGTCTTAACAGCGACAAAGCAGACCTGTAATTTCAAACAAGCAAACAAGTTACCAAAATTTCCATGCGACGCAGACACTTTAACTTACTGATTGAAAAACTTACTGATTGAAAAACTTGAGCAGCTTTTAAGGGATGGTGTAAAACGTGATTTCCAAGTTCAGCATCTAATTCGACAACATCACAGGGATTTATTAAAATATTGAACCGATAGACAGCGTAACTTTGTTTTGAATCTGTGAAGATATAAACGTGAATGTCAGCATAATTACGTGTAGAAACATGTGTGAGGATTCTGGACAGCGCCTCTGCTGACGCACCATTGTAGTACTTGCAGTCGCCCATAAACTTCTGGAGGCCTCCACTTCTGTCTAGATAGACAAGGGCTGCCTCTTTCATTTGTAGATTTGCCATCTTCCCCTTGTTGACCTTCTCTGTTAGCAGCAGGTTAACCACAGCTGGTGGTAAAGATTACAAGTGACGAGACTCACAGAAAGAATCAGGAAACCTAGAAACAAAAGAAAGCTTACTTTTGAAGACCATTAATAAAACTTACCGACTATTAAAACTTAACACTGAGGCTACAGCTGGTAAACTTTGCAACTCTAAAACCTTCCAACTGAAAGACAAACAAAACTTGCGACTGAACCGAGGGCCTCATGCATGCAAGCATGTACTATTGACTAAACTCCCTTCCCCAAATAACACTTCAGTCAGCACTCAGGCGATTTTGCAAATGACCACAAACTTAACAGGATGCTCAAACGGCTTTCTAGGGCAGGCACTCCAAAAATGCAAGTTGAAACAAGTAATTTTGGATGATGATAATCCCATGTAAGCACAGACTGAATGATGAAAGTGATATAAATTGTTTCATAAATTCAGTCTGGGATGGCGAGATGACTCATTGGGTAAAGAAGCCAAGTCTGACGACTGAGTTTGACCCCTGGGACCAACATGGTGGAAGGAGGAGCCAACTTCAGCAAGCTGGCCTTTGATCCTCACATTTGAATGCACACACACACACACACACACAGTGTAAAGAAAACTAAGTTAGGCAGTAAAGGTATGAGACTAACTTGAAAAGCCTGAGAAAGCATTTGCTGGGGAAATTGGCCTCTCTTGGCTCAGTATCTCCAGCTGCCAGCGACAAAGGCATTAAACAATTAAGGCCTCTTTCAGTTTTCAATCTTGGTCAGTGACAAGTGCAGAACATTAAACTGTAGTGGGAGAGAGGGGAATATAAAAAAAACCGCACTTAAGCAGAAAGCACTAATTAGAAATAAGATATGCCATTCAGTTATTACTGTATTTATTAGGAATGATATAATGAAGATTGGACCCTGCCTTTAAGCAATCCAATTTAGAAAATTCAGAAATAATGACTAATATATGTATTGAATCGTTACCAACTATTTCTTTGCTATTTTTTATTTATCGGCTGCCTCACTTTCCCCTAGGCACCAGGAATACAAAATGGGCAAAATGTAGTGCCTAGCCTTTACAGCAAGTAACTCAGCTATACAAACAACTATATGATAACTTGCAATAGAAATATGAACATATTAGTGAGCACTAACGTAAGTGATATACCTTATTAATCTGGGTCATCTTCATGTATAGACCAGGGCGTTTTCCTATGGCTTTGGACTCTTTTGGTTGAGGGCAGTGGGTAACAAGGAAGCTACCGCATTCTACTTCAAAGGGATAAAGTGAGTTTACCTGTCTGTGACGCTGTCCTGGCACATTTGCCCAGCATGCACAAGGCTGGGCTCGATCCCAGCACCACCAAAATAAATTCTTAAAAAAAAAAAAAAAAGAATAAATAAAGTTGGTTTCTAGTAGGTATTTCTATAATGGGGATAATTTTCCAAAGCAGCTAACACCCCCCGTTATGAGTCATACAACACTGAATTCACCCACTCAGTACCTGAAGTTCAGGACACTTTCCACAGAAAAGTTAAGTGGGTAGGCCTATCCCTTTTGCTATCACATAGGGATAAAAATCAGTAATTTTGTTGGTTGACATCGTAAGAATATTAGGTTTATTGCCGGGTGCGCTCATGTACGCCCTTAATCCCAGCACTCAGGAAGCAGAGGCAGATGGATCCCTGAGTTCGAAGCCAGCCTGGCCTACAGATTGAATTCTAGGACCACCGGGGCTTCACAGAGAAGCTGTGTCTCAAAACAAAACAAAGAAACAACAAACCAGGTTTCTGAAGTTGGAGGACATAGAGTGAAATGGTTGAGTAAGGCCAGACCGAGTGCAAGGTAATTGGAAAGAGAAGTTTTTGAAAATAGAATTATGTCCGTTTTATTTATTTTTTATTTTGGAAATTAGCCCCGTCCTGTTACCTGTGTGGAGAATGCTTTGAAACAGTGAACAGCCAATTATCAGTTTTCAACTAGTGTTGTATTTCTGATAGATGGACAAACCAGTCCAGGGTATGTGAAACAAAATGGAACGGAGGAGATAAATTCTAGAATTTTAAAGACCCTCCTTTTGGGCTTCGTGGCCAACCTGGACAAACAACACAGAACAAAACAAAGCAGTCGAGGCTAGGTGGTGGTTGCAGACATTCAGGAGGCTGGGCACACGGAGGTTAGGGCTGGGCTCGGGCAGGGTGGTGGTGGCCGGGCACACACTCACACACACTGCCAGGAGGGGCCGATGAGGAGAAACTGGGCGCAGAAGAGGCGAAGGGACCTCGCGTCAGCGCTTGCGGGAACCGTGAGGCGATGCGGAGACCAAGGCTCAAACAGCTCAGCACTCAGCCGCGAGCGCGAACCCGCCTGGCTCGCGGGCCCCGCAGCCCTTTGGGGGACCCCAGGCCCCTGGAGCCCGCCACTCCGGCCGCTCCGGAACGAGACCCACCTGCGCCTCCAGACCCGCGCGAGGTGCCGCAGAGGCGCTCCTGCGCACGCGCCCTCCCCAACCGTCGGGCGCGCGGGGTCTGCCGGGACCTCCGCCCTTCCGTCACCAGGGCAGCCAGTCCCACCTGCGCCTCCCGACCGCAGCTTGCTCCCCGCAAGGCTTCCTTTGCTTTCGTTGCTGTCTAGTCCAAGACAATACCCGTGTGGAAAAAAAGAAAAATCAAATCCTGCTGATGGCGATGCGAAACAGCATTGTCGGAATTTTGGGAAACATTGCGGCGGCCTCTCAAAGGGCTAATTCCAAGGGACTTGAAAACATGCGTCCACAGAAAAGCTCGCAAATGTCAACTCACACTATCACTCATAACTGCTGCGAAGTGAACGCCTTCGCTCCCAAGCAGCATCAGACAGCTGTGGCATAGCAACGCAAGGCGACACGATTTATTCCTTGAATTAAAAAGAGAATTAAGGGCTAGTACACTATGGATGGCTCTCTGCACTGTGCAAGATGAAAGACACAAAAGTAATATGCTGTATGAAATGCCAGTTATTAACGAAATACCCAGGATAGTCAAACGTGAACATGAATTTGCAATTACCTGGGGCTTAGTAAGGAAGTGGAAGGTGACTGATAGTGGGGTAGGGAATTTTTCTCCCCTAAAATTGTGGTAAAATGCACCTAATAAAATCTCCCATGTTAGCCATTCTCGAGTGGAAGTTGAATGGCATTACTTTCACACTGTCGTGAAACTATGTTTTCACTACTTTTTTTTTTCATCTTCCCAAACTCTTGAGCCGTTTAGTGATTTCCCAAGTTCCTGGCAATAACCCATTCGGTCTTCTTCAAATTAGCTACCGTAGAACTCACAAATGGAATCGCACAGCATTTACTATCTTGTACCTCTTATTCCACTTCATAAAATGTCTTTCATGCTCCTGCATGCTTTAGAATGTTAGAATTGTCTTCCTTTTTGTAATATTCCATTAAGTGGATAGCATGCTGTTGTTTCTGTTCTTGGTATTGACATTGAACTAGCCCTCCAAACCCTTTGGGTTGTTTGTAAGGTAATGGTGTTGAACAAAGTTCTTTTTTGTTTTGTTTTTGAGACAGGGTTTCTCTATATAGCTTTGGCTGTTCTGGACTCACTCTGTAAACTAGGCGGGCCCCAAACTCTCAGAGATCTTCCTGCCTCTGCCTCCCGAGTGCTGGGATTAAAGGCGTGCACCACCACTGCCCAGCTTCAATTGCTGGTAATGAGACAGGGTCTCTTTGTAGTCCAGGCTGGCTCCGAACTCAGTTTGTAGCATAGGCAAGCCTTGAACTCACAGTTTTGTCTCAGCTTCCAAGTCTGAGACTTATAGGTACGTTTCACAATATCTGGCTAATAGTGCATCTTTAAATGGACGAGTTGTAAAGTGTGAGAATTAAAGCTCAATAAAAGCTTTACCAAACAACAAGAACACTAAAAACTTAGACCTCTTTCCTACCTGGAAAAGGTTCCAGTTAGGAGGGAATCTCTATGTAGCATTGTGTCCCATCAATCCATGTCACACATGCCAGCACATTTTCTTTGTATATGTTTGTGTCCACCCTCAGGTCGTTTTGCTAACGTGGTGGTTGTGAGCAGTGCTGCAGTGAACATGACAAGTCAGACACCTCTTCTGACACCCTGACTCCAAATTCGGGGACAGGTTTTCCTTTCTTCAGACGTCAGTGAAAAGCAAAGCAATCAGAGTCACGACGACTACGGCATACTGCTGCTGGTTAGCATTAACGATGCAGGGCTTTATCACCGCTACTTTTACATCATTATTATGAATGGCAACACAGTAAAAAAGGGCAAATAATATTTTTACATTATCTTGCATTTTAAAAAAAGATTAAATATTTATAGTGCTCTGCCTGCCTGTACACCTGCAGGCCAGAAGATGACACCAGATCTCACTATTGATGGTTATGAGCCAACATGTGGTTGCTGGGAATTGAACTCAGGACCTTGGAAGAACAGTCAGTGCTCTTAACCTCTGAGCCATCTCTCAAGCCCAGGAATTATTTTCTGCACTCAACTCTATCACAGTTACTTAAAAAATGATTTATTTGTATGCATATTGGTGTGCTTCCTGTCTGTGTGAGGGTGTCAGATCTCCTGGAACTGGGGTTACAGACAATTGTGAGCTTCCATGTGGGTGCTGGGAATTGAATCCGGGTCCTCTGGAAAGCAGCCAGTACTAAGCCATCTTTCCAGCCCTGATTCTACTGTACTTCATTCCTACCTGATCATCGAACATACTCGACCTGGGTGCTGGAGAGATGGCTCGGCAATTAAGAGTGCTTGCTGGTCCTGCAGAAAGCTCAGGGTTGCTCTGTAGTGGCCATGTGAGGGGTCACAACCACCCGTCTAGAACTCTAGCTCCAGGGGACGTGATGACTTCTGCAGGCTACTACACACATGTGGGGGACACATACTCACTTAGGCTCACACAGACACACGAGTAGATCGTGTGGCAGCTAGTGAGACTGAATTGGATGAAATCCCAGAGAACTCAAAATACAACCGTAAGTATGTTCAAAGATAAAAGTATCTGAGTGAAATCAGGAACGTGATGGATAATATGAAAGAGGAATTGAACAAAGAGAAACTTATCTAAATTGCTAGCAATAAAACACATAGTAGTGCCAGACAGTGTGGCACACACCTTTAATCCCAGCACTCAGGAGGCACAGGCAGGAGGATCTCTGAGTTCAAAGCCAGCCTGGTCTACAGAGTGAGTTCCAGGACAGCTGAGGCTACACAGAGAAACCCTGTCTCAAACAAACAGAAAACCACATAGTAGTTCAAATAAAAAATGTGTGGAAAGGCTCAGCAATAGAACAGATTAAGGGGAGGACCGAATATCCGAGCTTGAGGTCAAGATCTTGGAGGAACTAAAACCATCCAGCCAGGACAAAGGTAAAATAATGAAAAGGTAGCAATTGGGAATCAAAAGATACATGTGACATCCTGAAAGACCAAATCTATGGTTATAAGCCTAAGAGAACCACATCAATCTAAAGGCACAAAAACACTTTCTGAGAAACTAAAAATACCTCAGCATTAGAAAGAAAAATGCCAATCCAGATATAGGAGGTACTCAGGACTCCAAAACAAGAGTAGACAACAGCCTCCCCTCATCACACTAAAACTCCAAATACAGAAAAACAAGCATATAAAATATACCAAACTGCCAAGTCTGCAACGTATAAAGGCTGCTAGACTAACAGCAGACTATTGAATTTAAAAACCAGGAGGGCCTGGACACATGTATTTAGAGTTCTGAAAGACAACGACTGCCAGGCACACTACTATACGAGGGTGGCCCTTGAGGCTCATGGATTCGGACACTTGGTTCTCATTTGGTGGTGCTGTCTGGTGAGGTTGTGCCATGTTCAGGATGCACAGTGCTGTTGGAGGAAGTACATCACTGGGTGTGAGCTTTGAGGGTCTACAGCCCCGTTCCCCTTGCAGGTCCTGCTCTGCTTTCTGCGTGCAGTTGAGGATGTGACCAGCCAGCTTCCCTCTCCTACTCCCTGCCTTCCCCCCACCGTGGATCCCCCTTCTGGAACGGTAAGCCAAAATAAATTCTTCTGTAAGTTGCCTTTGGGCACGGTGCTCTATTGCAGAAACAGAAAAGTAACTGATACATGCATTTGGCCAAGTTATCTCTCACAACTGAAGAAAAGTAAAAACTACCCATGATAAAAAATAGGCTAAAGAAACTTATATCCACTGAGCCAGCTCAGCAGAAAATGTTATGAAATCTTCCTGACCAAAGAAAAAAACAAATGCACCTCTGCAGCCACAGGGAAGATAAGCCATACTAGAGTAACAGTTAAGCAAGGGAAGGGAAAAAATAGTAAAAACTACAAAATCAACAGGATGTCAAGAATCAATATGCAGCTCTTAATAACAACTCTGAATATTAACAGTATCAATTAAAGGACACTAATAGATTGGATCAAAATGCAGAGATTAAAGTTATATGTTTGCTGTTACTAACTGGACTCAGTGGGTTATTAAAAAAAAAAAAGATAGGAAGTTGGGAGAGGAACATGTACATGGTAAGGTGAGTTGGGAGTTGGGGGAGGCCAGAGTGAGGTATGGATGCGCCCAAAGTACACTGTATACACGTATGAAATTCCCAAGGAATAAATATAAGTTAAAAAACCTGGGTAATTGGTGAAATAATCTATCCACTGTACCATCCACTAAAATCTCAGATTCTTTTTTTCTCTGTACTTGTGATAAATGTTCTCAATTAAGTACCAACCAGGGCCAGAGACATGGCTCAGTGGTTGAGAGCATTTGCTGCTCTTCCAGAGGACTGGAGTCCAGCTTCCAACCCCCCAAGTCAGGTGGTTCACAAAGCACCTGTATTTCCAGCCTCAGGAGTCTGTAATCCCTCTTCTGGCTTCGGGTGACACCTGCTTCCACATGGTATAAATACACATGTGCACACATACATTTAAAAATCTTTAAAATTAAGAGATTAAGTGGCAGTGATCAGCACCACTACATCATCAGCAAAGTCAATTATTGTGCAAATCATACACACCGGGAATTGAACCCAGGGCCTTCGGCAAGCACTCTACCACTGCAATACCGGAGACCACATGCATGATTATAAAAAAATTCTGCATTTAGTGTCTGCTCACGCCATAGCTCCTATGTCCCAGGAGAACTTGTAGGTGCATTTCTCTTTCATCAGGCAGGTCCTAGATAGTAAATTCAGCTCACACTGCTGGGAAACCAGCTCGCCAGCCTGTAGGCTGTAACTGGATCACAGAACAACCTAACACAGCAGGGCTGTATTTACTATCTAAAAGGAACTGAAAACTCTATTGCAATAGAGATTTTAACTGGCTATTTTGTGTGGTGTGGTAGTACGACAGTTCAGCCTTCTGCATTCCATGAGTTAACTACTAAAACATAAAAAAATTTAAATATTGACAAGTCATTGTAGACTTTCCCACAAATACTTAACCAAAACTGAAGTAGAAATACTTAATATCGATCTTTATTCATTGCTCAAAGTATAGCAAGTGTGAGAAAAGACAAACCTATGATACATTCCTGCAAAAGAAAATTTATGATAAAAACCAGATATTACCTTTGAATACAGGATCCGTAAAATCATCAAATGCGTATGGTTCTGGTCAACAGGGGTAAAGCGTGATACAACCCAACTTAACTGCCTTACGCTGCATTGTAGCCAAACACATACAAATTAGCTACTCTTTAAAGATTCTTTGATCATCGCACTGTTGTAGAAAAGCTTTTTGTGTACTATTAATTTCAGTTATTCTCCACTGTTGCAACTTTAGTTAAAATTTTAAAAAAACTATTTGAGAACAACGCAGCATTTTTTCCTTTCTCGGTTCACTTACTTATGTAGAAGTGAACATTTAAGAATTGAAGAATGATTTCAAATTATGTGTGTGGGGGGGAGGGGTGCACAGCAGAATTACACGTGTGTGGGAGGGGTGCACAGTGGTCAGAGGACAACTTACGGATGTTGAGTCTCTCCTGCTACGTGGCTCTCAGAACCTAAACTCGAGTGGCAACTGTCCTTACCTGCTGAGCCATCTCGCCCCCCTTGAAAAGCGTATGTATGGGTGTATGCTCACCCACTAAAGGGATGTATTTAAAAGATTGCAAATCAACAGTTACACAATTTGCCATGATGGTAAAAATGTGACCTAATTGAGATCAATGTCCAACCGAATTCTACTACTGAGGTTGTGAACAATTTTTATTAGTTTAAATAAATATAGATGTGGCAAAGAACCCAAGTATTTTTTTTAAAATACAAGGATTTTTGTGTATATGCCTGCATGTATGTACTCATGTGCGCCACGTGCATGCCTGGAGTCCCTGGAACTGGAGCTACAGGCTACAGTGTGTCACCAGGTGGGTACCAGGATCCGAACCCAAGTCCTCAGCAAGAAGAGCAGATATTTTTATTTGAATCCATCTCTTTAGCCGCTGTCCCAATATTCTTATACATATTCTGGGAGCTGCTACTCATTTTGCCCAACAGCTTCTTTTATATACAAACATGACATTAATTTCAAGGTACTCAGACCATAAAGAACTCATGACTCGGGTTATTACTGTGCTCTCACTGCTTGTGTTCCCACAAAACTCATGTGTGCACCCTAAGGCCCCGTCAGAACACTGGAGGAGGGACTGTGGGAACCTAAGAGAGACTGCCCCCCAGGAAACTAAAAGCCTCTGCCTCCTCACCCGACTCCTGCAGCCTGGGACCCCCAACTACGAAGAGGAGGCTGAACAAGGAACCTTTCCTGCCCGGAGGAGAATGGTTTCTACAAAACCGTTAAGTAAAAATTGCCTTTACAGCTCAACGGCTAAAAACATCTACTTCATCAAGCTGAAACTAACAAGCTGCAATCCTAGGTTGAGGAGGCTGAGAGGATCCTGAGTTTGGGGCCAGCTTGCTACACTGAGACGTATCTCTAAAAATGAAGCAAACAGGCCAGGAGCTGACTTCCTGACTGTTAACTAGTCTTCATTTGGCCCTTCGAGATTATTTTGGTAGTTAGCATGAGACAGTCTGATTCTCCAAAAAGCATGTATTTAATAAGACTTACAGCATGGGAGAAAAGATAAATGTGGAGATCAGAAAAATAATTTTGTTCCCTGATCTACACATGTCAATATAACCCAGTAATTTATTCTATCCAAATATTTTGACTATATCTCACACAAGAATAACTCACTTGATAATTACTATAACCATTACTGACTTTAATTTCAGGTAGCAGGGATTAGATATTGATAATTAATTTTTTGCTAATTTTATTATACTACATAGATCTGTATTTCTTGTGATCCAAGAAACATCAAAAACCTACAATTTGTTCTTAAAAATACAATATTGCACTTTAATTTTTGGCAATTTAATTAGGGATATCTGAGTAAAAATCATACATGTACAATGTGTCTAGATTTATAATCAACAAGAAACTGTTATTAAAGTCGTCCTTACAGAAGTGCCCCAAACCAATTATGTACAGCGACGACAGCACATCTCACCTGTAAGGAAGGTCCAGTGTACCGCACATAAAATACTACCTGTCCCACCAAAGCACCACCCATCCCCACCCACTCCGCTGACCGAATTTAAGCTGAAACATATTGACGAGAAATATTCCCGATTTCTTTGTCAAGATAACACATGCAAATGAAGTTTGTCTCTGGAGCAGCTAAACTCATGATACCATTCCTTAAAGGATCTGAGAAACTGCCCTCCAGGAACTGGAATCCCAAGTTATGTGGCACCCCCTGCCCCCGGCCTTATTTTGTTTTTTTCCAGACAGGGTTTCTCTGCATATCCTTGGCTATCCTGGAACTCTGTAGTCCAGGCTGGTCTCGAACTCACAGATCCACTGTCTCTGCTTCCCGAGTGCTGGGATTAAAGTCGTGCGCCACCACTGCCCAGCGTAAGCTTTCTTTTTAAAGAGTTTCTCTGTGCCTAACATCCTTTACCGTTATGAATGCAGACATTAGTCGGCATGTGATTTTACAGTCGGTCTTCTAATTTGTAAGATACATAAAGATACCAAGAGGCAGGTGTGTACTTCAGAGACGGAGAATACTCTCACTCGCCTTCATGAAGCCTTCTGTATGTCTGATCCCCGGCACTACAGATGAGTAAAACTGAGTGTGTATCTGCTAAATTACTGTTACCTTCTGTTACAGTGACATACATCTACACTGACCCAGATTTGCTCTTTTATTTAATTCACAACTAGATGAACATTATAGAAAGCTTTTTTTTTCTGTCATTGTGAAAACATGATCAATCAGGAAGGCAGTTTTGAAATAGCTATTTGCAAAACCTGACACTGACTTACTCAATGGTACACTAAACCTCCAAGGGTTAAAAGGAACATAAATAGAAAACATTTGTAATATACATATATAACAGACATTTATTTTTGGCACCACCTAAAAATTATCTGGTAGCATCTTATTACTTCTCAGTTCCGTGGGAATTCTAAAAATTTCTAGCCATTAAATATTTTCTTTTCCTCTAAAGGAAAAATGATGCATGTATGGGAACTGAGTGTTTCAAAAGCAAAAAATCTTTTTGCTTTTTCTTACGGGGCTGAATGTGAGCAGCTATTATTGTTCACTACGGCCAGTGCGTTTAAGCTGCTTTTGCATTTACTACCAAGAAGTAATTTTCAAATAGTGACTTTTCATGGGAAGATAGGGTTTCATCATAAACCATCACGTACCATTTGCATAGCTCTGCTATGACAAAAGTCATAGAATTATAAAGATACTAATACACCTTAACTGTAACAGACTATTCAAACAGTCTATCTTGGATTGTGTTAGTGTAAACTCAGCAGGAAAAAAAAAACAGTCAATAGAAAAAGTTATCTTTAAAAATAGGTTAGTGCTAAGAATAATACCTTTAAATTTTTGTTTAAAAATAAGCTTAATAAACAAGAATACAAATTTCAGTTCAAAACAGCTCTTTGAAATGCCCTATTTCTTGCATACAGCAGAAAATACAAATTTCATAGTTTTCAACATTACATGTAAAAATGAGGCACTGTTATACATAGTTGAATATATTCACACAAAGAGGTGTTTCTGTCTCTTCCGCAGGCTTGAGTTTACCCGACGGTTCTGAACACCAAACTGTTCACAAAAATAAGTCTTCTGAAGGGGGGGCGTAAGAGAAACCAACAAATGCATCATCTGCTTCCAGAACACTGGCATTCACTATAGAATAGTCGGAGGACACGCACACAGAATAGGGAACCGTTTCTTCGGTGAAGACTGTGTCAAAGTTTCTGATATCATCTGGTCCGGCCTGAAACATTGAAAGCACAGAATCACTCACCCTAGCTGTTCTTATTTCATTAACTTAGTTTATTAATTAGCTTTTCTTTCATTAGCTTAGTTGGTCAGTTAGCTTTTCTTAAATGAACTTAGCGCATTAAGATGTTTTTATGACTTTGCATATTTTCCCTGGAAGGTTTAGATCTCCCCTACCTTATCATTCTGCTCCCCTACCCACTTTTATTATTATGCTGAGATGTCTGGTCTAACAGGTTACAATTCTTCACTGTTGAGTAGGGAGAGTAGTGATGGTAAGGATAAGGAAGGCCAGCGTGGCAGAGCTGCACATTCATGCATATATACATACATTCATACATACACCCCTCCACCTTTCTCTCTATACATCATCATCTTCATGTGCAAAAACAAGGTTTAGGGAGGTCTCCAGGATAGTATTTTACTCTGAGCCTGCCAGTTTAGCTTCTCAAGTTTGGATGGGTAAAGCTTTCTCATGAAGTGAGGCTGTTTTAAGTAAAACCGTGAAAGGTGGATCTCTGCGCTACAGACATGGTCATGAAGCACTTGGTGGGAGCATTCTCAGCTGCACAGGCCTGAGGGAATGTGAGAGGAGTACCGCAAATGCTTAGCTGCAAGGCAGTGTCTCATTCAGTGTAGTGACAATGGATCTCTCCCTTCAGCTAGGAAGAAAGCCTTTTCTTCAGATAGGAACTGAGATACAAACTCAGGCGAATTGCTTGTAAACACCATGCTAATCCTCTAGGCTATTTCTGCTCCTTTACACGTCTACGTCAAGAAGCCTAACTGAATTACACAGGCAGGGACTTAGGACAGAGAAAATAACCACAGGATATCAGTTAGCTCTGTGGATCTACAAATTAATCAGAGAACAGGGAATGAACTTGAAATGTTTGATTTTTCCACGTAAGAAAATCTCCCTCAGAGTACAAAGTACTCCAGAGATTATAGCATTAAAGATTTTAAAATTAAAAGGAATTTAAAATGAATTTCAAAGGGGCTGAAGAGATGGTTCAGGGGTTAAGAGCTGCTGGTAGACTCAGCTTAGCTCTTTCCCACCAACTCTTTCAACCTTCTCTTCTAGCCCATGACCCATGTCTAGACACAGGGAACCTCAGTGGCCACACTGGGCTGGGACCCACATAGGCAACTTTCACTACTTTCCTGTCTTTCACTGTGTTCTCTCAGATTTTCTCTTAGTTCTGTAGCAGCCTGCTTGCAGAAGTCCCTTCTCCTGCCCCAAACCTAAAGAAGTAGGTATTGGGGATGGAGAAATGGCTCAGAGTTTAAGAGCACTGACTGCTCTTCCAGAGGTCCTGAGTTCAATTCGTAGCAACCACATGGTGGCTCACAACTATCTATAATGTGATCTGATGCCGCCTTCTGGTATGCAGGTGTACATGCAGGTAAGAGCACTCATATACATAAAATAAAGAAATAAATCTTAAAGAGAAATTAAGCGCCTATCAAGGTGTATGGAGTATACAGAGCACCAAAAAGAAATTCTCCACATCACATAATAAAATTCTAATGTACAGAACAAAGAAATATTAGAAGCTGCAATGGAGAAAGATAAAGTAACATATAAAGGCAGGCCCACAGAATTATATCTGACTTCTCAGTGGAGATTCTGAAAGCTAGAAGGGTCTGGATGGATGTTCTACAAACTCTTAAGACACCACGGATGCCAGCCCCAATTACTATACCCAGCAAAACTGTTAATCACAATTGACAGAGAAAAAAAATCCATGATAAAACTAAACTTAAGGAATTTCTATTTGCCAATCCAGCCCTACAGAAGGCACAGAGTTGAGCTGGTGCCTAACTAGAGCCTTCACCCTTACTAACATTCCTGGGTACTAAAAGGTACTCGCACATTATGGGAGAAGAAAGGCGATCATCAATATATTCTAGCTACAAACCCTGCAACCCAGGAACAGTAATTTGCTAGTAAGATATACTGTTATAATAGTGGCACAAATGCTATGGGAGCAACCAACGACTCTTGACTGATGAGCTTTAAGGCCCACTCCAAGAGATGGATGTATGTCAGATGCCACACCTGACACTGATAAAGCGCCCCAAAACTTGAGACTGTATTGGTCTTGGTCCCAAGGGAAAATCTAATACTGTTATTCTGCTAAAAGACTATAGCAATAAAACAACTCTCAGTGACATATTAGTATATCCACAGATCAGTGCCCTTCTCATCCATCATCAGTGAAGCTTCCTGCAGTAGATAGGAACTAACAAAGAAACCCATGAGTGTATATAATGTACAGAGTGAGAGATTTTGGAGCACTCAGTCCTAAAAGTGATGTCTCCTTGAAGGCTTACGAATATATGTGCGAAAGGAGGCAGAAAGATTATAAGAGTCAGAGGTGGCGGGATATTAAAAAGACAGCGTCTTCCAGACACAAAAGGACTGATGCACATGTGAACTGAGACTACAGCAGCTTTCAAAAACCCTGCCCAGGTTTAAGCCAAATGGGGTCCCAGCTCCGTGAGGAGGAAATGGAAATGGGTTCCCATCCTTCAACAAGAAGCTATCTACATCTGATAACAACTGGCCCAGGAAAAAAGCCAGGTTCCCTCCAGTGGAGTCTATATATATTAATCAGCCTTCAGGGTAGACACAGTGCTCAGGAGGAGATGCCCAACACAGAATGAACTCAACAGGACTTTCTAATTTTTTTTGTAGATAAGGTTTCTCTGTGTTGTCCTGGCTGTCCTAGAACTTGCTCTGCAGACCAGGCTGGCGTTGAACTCACGGAGATCCGCCTGAGATGAAAGGCCTGTACAGTTAACACCCAGTTGATTGTGGACACAGTTAGGTGGGAGTATCTGGAGAAATTGGGGGCAGGAAAACATGATCATATCTTATTTTTTAAAAAAAATAATAAAAAATAGCAGTGGCTCTGCTCTTCCAGAGGACCTGGTTCAACTCCCAGCACCTACAAAATGGCTCACAACAATCTGTAACTCCAGTCCCACGAGATCTGACACCCTCTCCTGGACTCATGAACACTGTGTGCACACAGTACACAGGCACACAGTCAGGCAAACACTCATATACTTACACATGAAAGAAAAATTAATAAAATCTAAAATAATAACAATATTGCAGAAGATCTAGGTTTGCTCCAGCATTGACATCAGCTGGCTCCCAATGGCCATTAGCTTCAGTTCCAGGGGATTCTCCAGTGCCTTCCTTCTTCTGGCCTCATAGACACCAGAGATGCTTCTGGTACTCGTGTGTATACTCAGACAGACAGACAGACAGACACAACACCCACACCCACACACCCACACCCCTGGGGATTTACCTCAGATGGAGGAACACCTGCCTCAGCAAACCCTACACCAATGTGCTCAGAGACACCCAGACACAAACCAAATGTGAAACACACCAAAAACTGTCATCAAGTTCTGACTGTGAAATGCATCAGCTGCAATTCTTTATGTAACTACCAGCTTTCTATACACCTGCTTCCGTGAAGACTGGGGACTGGGCCTCCCTAATCCTCAATACAAAAACCAGGACAAAAACTGTGCTTAACAGAGTAGTTGCTTCTGACACTCTCCATTCTGAACTACACGGACTAGATCAGGATACAAATACTGCTGTGTGGAAGGGAGGAAAGTACCACAGCTATTATGGTTAAAGGTCGGTTACCTTTAACCGAGTGTGAGTATACAGGCTCACGTTTACTTCCTGAAGTAATTTCCTTAGCCCCTAATTTTCACAGCAACTACAAACGAGAGATCTGAGGCTGGGGATAGTTCACTTGCTCAAGTATTTGTTTTGTAGACAGGAGGACCTAAGTTAAAGAGTTCAGGTTTGAAATGTTGGCCTCCCAGCACTTGGGAGATCCACCACAGAGGCAGGTGGATCTCTGTGGGTTCAAGGGCAGCCTGATCTACAAAGCAAGTTCAGGACAACCAAGGCTACACAGAGAAAAACTGTTTCAAAAAACTAAATTAATTAATAATTTAATTAATTAAAATACTACAACAACAAAAACACTGGCCTGGGAACACCTGAATATCATCCCAGCAGTGTGTAGGTGCAGACAGTCCTATCCCGAGCTCACTGGTCAGCCAGCCTAGTTTCAGGCCAGTGAGTGTCTTTGCCTCAAAGCAGAAAACAAAACAAAACAATAAAATGGATAATGCCTGAAGAATGACATCAAGGTTTCTCTGGCCTTCAGAGGAATGTACACTGATGTTCTGCTTCCATCCATGTCTGTGTGGGTGTCAGATCCCCTGGAACTGGAATTAAAGACTGTTGTGAAATGCCATGTGGGCACTGGGATTTGAACCTGGGTCCTGTGGAAGAGAAGCCAGTGCTCTTTATGGCCGAGCCATTTCTCCAGCCTCTAATGTGAATATTTTAACAACACTTTTTATTATTTTCTTCAAAGGATATGGCAATTTATATTTCCATCCAAAGATTTAGCTGAACTGATAAAGGCATTTGGCAAACAAGCACGAGGGCCTGAGCTCAGATTTCCAGGACCCGTATCATGTGTCTGTGCAGGGCTTACACACCTGCACTCCCAGCTCCAGACAGGCAGAAAGAGCTGGATCCCTGCAGCACCCTGGCAAGCCAGCCTAGCTGAAGTGACTAACTCAGGTGCAGTGAGAGGTCCTGTCTCAAAACCTAAGGCGGGCAAGACTGGAGGATACCTCACAGTCTGGTCTGCGCGCGCGCGCGCGCACACACACACACACACACACACACACCACACACACACTTATTTGGCCCTGGGAAAACATTAGTTTCTCTTGGATGTTGGTTTAGTATGTACAGAAATGATAATGGCTACCTTAGCTTCCATCTATAAGATCATCCATTTGATCTCTGCAAAGAAGCATTCATAATTACCATGCAGGAAGATACTTAATCTAACTGTGGTCTTACTGGTCACCTTGAAGTTTTTGCTTTCCTTTCTTGTTTTGTGGAAAAGATAGGCCAAGTCTTCCAGCACTGAGCTCGACACCTCTAAGTGACAACTGCACAATGCTTAGGTGTTGACTCCTTTTCATTCAGGTCGGCTTTGGGGATCCATTTCCAAAATCACAGTGAGCTTCATTTCAGCTTTGTATGTATTTTACAAAAAATACATACTTACCACATTAGGGTTAAATGGTGGTGGGATCTTTTTTTGTACAAGGTCAGTCCAGCTGAGTGACTCAAAAAAAGGATGATTCTGGATTTCAAGCTAGAATATTAAAAAAAAAAAAGTGATGACAAACGATTAAGCATTCATCAAAGAATATTACCAGGTTTAACTACTTCAATTTTGCCACTCAAGTTTTTTTAATGAGGTATTTATGTCACTCCTGGACACAAGCCCTGGAAAGACAGGCACTGAGAACCAGACACTTCCATGTAAGTAATATCCTTTTCACAAGCACAGTTTCTGAATGCAGGTCCTCACACCTGCTCAGCAACCATTTACTGACTGAGCCATCTCCCAAGGCAGGGTTTCAAGTTAGCATATGCTTTGACCAAGCTACTCGAGGAACCCAGGTGGCAGTATGAAGAAAGCAGTCACTATGTCAGCCTGAAGAGTTTGTAAGCGGGTTCTGGACTGAAGCCACAAATGTGCGATATGAAGACACGAAAGCAACTAGAGCCACTGCACCGAGAAGAGGGTCTGAGGACTACCACAGCCTCTGCACACTTCATGAGCTGCATAAGAGCTTTAACAGTTTACACAGCAGAGTAAAGAGGAGGACCCAGAAATACAATGGGGCAAGTACAAGAGTTTGTGAGTTCCAGTAAAGGCCTGGAAGCTAACCTGGCTGTGAGAGAGAACTGAGGAATACAAGAGTTAAACTTAATGTTTAACTCCTGATCAGGAGCAAGCAGACACACGGGATATAGCAATTTATATTCTCAAAGATTTAGCTGAACTGATAGAGTATTTAGCAGACAAGGACGAGGGCCCAAGCTCAGATTTCCAGGACCTGGAGAGCAGGGCTTACACACCTGCACTCCCAGCTCTGGGAGGCAGAGGCAGGGGGATTGTAGCCAGTCTGAGGTCAACCTGCACATCACTGACTTCATCTCAAAATAAAACAACATTGATGACCAAATATTGAAAAAATTTAAATTTCTAGGTATGGCACACATTTCTAATCCTAGCATTCTGTAGGCGGAGGCAGGAACTTTAGATTTTGAACTACGTAGTAACAGTAAAACTTTCTTCTAAAAAAAAAATTAAACAGACAAAAAAATGGTAGTAGTCAAAAAATGTATTATATGACACTTCATAGAAAGAAGGGAGGGGGGACTAGAAATGGCTCAACAGTTAAGGGCACTGGCTGCTCTTCCAGAGGACTGGGGTTCAGTTCCCACACAGCAGCTCACAACTGTCTGTAACTCCAGTTGCAGGAGATCTGACACCCTTACACCAATGCATATAAGATAAAGTTGAATAAACTCAAAAAACAGAAAAAGAACAGAAGTAAGAAGAAATTGTCATGAATAAAAATCAGTGAGAAGTAGCAGGGTATAAAAGCTGAACACACTGCTGTTACAATCTAATGAAAACAGAACTAATGACATTACATGAAACTATCAGAAACTGGAGACCAGAATGTCCCCAGCCTAATTCTGTGATCTAAATGCCAAATCAAATGATTTATCTCCAGATTTTAAGTAAGTTTAACAATAGGTACTCAGAGGAGCCTTGGATAGCTCCATTAATAAGTCTCCTGAGCCTGAATCTCAGAGTCCAGGGTTCAGTTCTCTGGAAGTTTAAGAGTGGCTCAGACTGTGACTCAAAATTCAAACGAGAGAGCATTGAAGAAAAAAAATGGGGCTGGACAGATGGCTCAGTTGTTAAAAAGGCTAGGCTCACAAACAAAAATAAGAAAAATAAAATGCAACAATCAGTACTCAGAAATTTACTTACAAAGTCTTCTTTGGCACCAAGTCGATTTTGCCTGTTCTTTTCTAGGAGTTCTTCCAGAATGGACCAGGCTGTGAGGCTCACTCCTGGTCTCAAGTTTAGGGGCTTGTGAAGAATATTATCATACATCTCAGCAACATCGCGGCAGTAAAAAGGAGGCTGGGAACATAAAAAGCAAAGCAAAACAACAGAGGTTAGTGAATTACGTGAAAATGGATTAAAAAATGTTGGAGTGCAGAGTGAGGTGACCCACACCTCTAATCCCAGCACTCAGAAGGTAGAGGCAGATGGATCTCAGTCCCAGCATGGTCTATACAGTGAATTCCAAGCCAGTGAAACACTGTGTTCAAAAAGAAAAGATGCTGAACTTGGCCTTGGTCTTCAGAGAGCAGTTGGGTATGGAGAACTGCAGAAACTCATGGCCCTCTTGGGGAATGTAGACGTCAGTACTTGTGGCAAAGAGCTCCTAAAGCCTAATGCACTATCAAGATTAACACAGGTTCACTGGGGAAAGTAGGATCCGTTTTGCTTGTTTTTTTAGTAGCTCTTTGTAGACTGCTTTTTAAATCACCCATTTGTAATTGTATGTTTTAGAAAAACAATGATTGGCCAAATCATAGGGTGGTGGTTTGAATAAGAATTGTCCCCAAAGGCTCATATTTGAATGCTTAGTCATCAAGCAGTGGCACTATTTGAAAAGATTAGAAGGACTAAGAGGTGTGGCCTTATTGGAGGAAGTGTGTCACTAGGGGTGGGCTTTCAGGTTTCAGAAGCCCATGCCAGGTCAAGTGTCTCTTTCTGTCCCTTGGCCTGTGGATCAGGATATAGCTCTCAGCTATTGCTTCAGTGCCATCTTCTTCACCACGATGGTAACGAACTAAGCCTCTGAAACTGCCATCAAGACCGCAACTAAATGCTTTCTTTTATAGTAGTTACCTTGGTCGTGGTGTCTCTTCAGTCAGAGAACAGTGACTAACATGCATAGGTATAATGAGAGAGTCACTGGTGATAGGCATTCCAGACAGATGAAATATCAAATAATTTAAGACTTGAGAATAAAGTCATCAAAAAAGTAGAGACCTGAAGATAAGTGTTTCTTCCTAAGTACATGTGATGGTTCAGTTGTAGGAGAATGCATTATAGCTAATTATCTAGCTAGAAGTTTTGGAATAAAAATAATATTTAAAGTTTAGGGAGTTTAATAGCCCTGTCAGTTTTTTTTTGTTCCTTCTCATAAGAGAGAAAAAAAAATTTACCTTTTAAAATATCTTATTTTATACTTCCAAAGTCCTTCAAAGAAATACAAAGGATTCTGAAATATCAATTCTGACAGTCAATGACTAAATAAAGTTAAGGTATTAAGTGGCTATCTGACACCCACTGTCACTAGCATGACTTAAAAAGTAGCTTTTAACATGCCATCCACCACTGAGGGAAGGAGCATGCTGTCTATCATTCTTTGGAATCTAAAATAGGCCTAACTTCACTGAGCTCCACAGTTTTTGTAGGTCGGTCACAAAGACTATCTACAAAGCAATTCCAAATATTTCAAACGGGCCAAGGAAAAGCAAAATTTAAGTGCTGAGGAGATGGCTCAGTACTTGCTATGTAAGCCAGGACCTGAGCTCAGGTCTTCAGTACCCATGTAAAATGCCAGGCACCCCTGAAACCACAGTGTGGGGTACAGAAACACAAGGCTACTTAGGGCTTGCTAACTTGTCAATTTAGCAAAATTGGTACATGCGTGCACACCCCACATAAAAGAAAAACAAATACATTCTTAGGAAGATATGTAAACTAAAAAGCCTAAGGAGGTTGCACTGAGTTGGAATGGTATCTCAGTGTAATAATAAAACTTGGTTTTGACCAACAGCTCTGGCTGGTCTTAGGCATGCTTACTGAAAACTGTGGAATTCAACTGCACAGCAAACATCATTTCCTTCTTTTTTTTTTTTATCCCCCCAACAGGGGAAAAGAGCCAAGATATTTTCAGAGAAGGTAAATGGGCGGTATAGGTGATACCTAGTGGTATAAAACCTGGAAATGTATGAATTCGATCCTGTAAAAACGGAATGAAATACAAACTCCAAAAGGCATTATCTTTTAAAACATAAGAGTAATATGTTAATAATTGAAAACTCTTTTATTTCCATCTTTTTAAAAATTAGGCAGGTGATATCTGGTATAAACAAAATGCAAGAAAATATCTAAGTTCAATGTTATGACTAGGTGTCTATTTCTAAAACTTCCAGAAGGAAAATGACTGAAGTAATACAGAAATAGTATACTGGGGTTTAAAAATAACGTTTTTCTTTATGTACACATTCCGAACATGGTTTTGGAGCCATTTAACTAGGCAGTCCTGCTTTATTGGTACTACATAAGCATCTTTGAGATTACGGATTATTATGTTGTCAATGGTGCAGTGGAATAATGAAGAATAGAGACACATACCAGCCCATACAGCATTTCGTACAGAACAGCACCCAGGCACCACCAGTCCACAGTGTTGTCATAGGGCTGCTTTCTGATCACTTCAGGTGCAAGGTACTACAGAAAAAAAAAGGGGAACATTACAGCAACTCACGGAGCAAAGGACAGAACTTAGCAATTGATAAAGTGAACAAACTTTAGCTGCTATTACTCATTCTAAAGACCTATCTGGATTATCAATGAGTTATACATTCTTTCTGTCACAGTGTTTTGTTATGTTTTTGGTTTTGGTAATGTCAACTGAACACGTGAAATTATAAGCACATAGCAATTTATCCAGAGATGAAAGCCATACAGAAAAGAACAGGAAGCATAGGACTCATCATGCTGAATATGTTTTGGGAGAAAGACTTCCAGCAGACTTATTATTTTAGAATTTAGCCAGAAGCAGTAGTACATGACTTTTATTCTAGAACTTGGGAAGACATTAGGAGAATTGGGACTTGGAGATCAGCCTGGGCTAAATAAGACTGTCTCAAAAAAAAAAAAAAATTCATTTAAAATGTTTCCACTTGAACAAAGACTTCATGTGTTCCCTTGTTTTTACAGACTTACTACAGTTCTGAGGCTGGCCTTAAATTCTTGAGCTAAGGAAGGCTTCCTGCCACCATGCTCAAGTTAAAAAAGAATTCTAAATCTGGCAATTACCCATTCCTTCCTTTGTAGTGAGAATTATTATTAAGAATTACAATAGCTACTAGGAGGTGATGGCACACTACTTTAATCCCAGCACTCGGAGACAGGGGCAGCTGGATCTCTGTGAGTTCAAGAAAAGCCTGATCTACAAAGTGAGTTCCAGGACAGCCGAGGCTACACAGAGAAACCCTGTCTGGAAAAAAAAAAAAAAAAAAAAAACATAAAAAAAGAAGACTAGGAAGAAAAAAAAGACTCGACTATACTAAATTTAGTAGGCTAGACAAACAAACAAAACAACAATTAGTTTAGATTGAATTTTAGGTGTGTATTTTGCGTGCAGACATGCATGTGCACCATACATGCATGCGAAGCCCTAACAGGACAAAAGATGCCGTTTGATGTCCTGGAAGTATCCTGGTTTGTGCAAGAGCAGCAAGTGCTCTTAACTGCTGAGCTGCATCTCCAGCCCTAAAACAGCTTTTCTTGTGGGGTCGGAGTTTTGGAGACAGGGTTTCTTTGTGTAGCCATGGCTCTCTTGGAACGAACTCTGTAGGCCAGGCTGGCCTGAAATTTGGCTGTTCGCCTGCCTCTGCCTCCCAAATGCTGGGATTAAAGGCACATGACATCACTGCCTATCGATGCAGCTCATTTTTATATTTTTTTATTATTAGTTAAATTTTATTAACTCTGTATCCCAGCTGTATCCCACTCCCTCATTCCCTCCCAAACCCTCCCTCCCTCATCTCCTCCCTAGCCCTTTCCAAGTCCACTGATAGGGGAGGACCTCCTCCCCTTTCATCTGACCCCGTTTTATCAGGTATCTTCAGGAGTGGCTGCAAAGTCCTCCTCTGTGGCCTTGGCAGGACTGCTCCTCCCTTGGGGGGTGGGGAGGTCAAAGACCCAGTCATTGAGTTCCTGTGAGAAATAGTCCTTGTTCCCTTACTATGGGAAACCAATTGGGTACTGAGCTACCACGGATTTCATCCAAGCAGAGGTTCTAGGTTATATCCATACATGGTCCTTGGTAGAGTGTCAAGTCTCAGAAAAGACCCCTGTGCCCAGATATATTTGGTCCTTGTGGAGCTCCTATCCTTTCCACGTCATACAAACTCCCTTCTTTCATATGATTCCCTGCACTTTGCCAAAGGTTTGGTTATGAGTCCTAGTATCTGCTTTGATACACTGCTAGGTAGAGTCTTTCAGGGCCCCCTGTCCTGTTATTTGTTTTCTCCTGCGTCCAATGCACCTTACATTTGTCTTTCTAAGTGAGGACTGATCATCTTATCCCAGGTCCTCTTTCTTTTTTATCTTCTTTAGGTGTATAGACTTCATTATGTTTATCATATCTTATAGGACTATATGCTGAGTATATAGATACAGCTCATTTGAAAGCACAGTTTTAATAAGGTATTTATATACTGTCCAATACTCTTTCAAGTGTACAGCTCAACGCTGTAAGCATATTTACAGTATGGGGCAACTACCCCCACAATGAACTTTAGGAAATTTTTACTTGAGTTCTTTATAGAAGGATTAGAAATGTAATTAAATGTTTAAAGATGTTCAAGGCAAACTTTTCATATCATAAACATATAAGCATGTTATCTGTTAGATCATTCAAAAAGGGTCTTGTGGTACTTCACAAACACAGGGAAAATGCACTCTAAATCTATACCCTCTGTACACTCTCAATCTCCAGAAAGCTGGGAGCTTCAACAAGTTTTATTTCACATCTTTTGTATATGCAGTATGCGACCTGTATTTATATTTGTATTTATATCGACAGCCAGATATATTTCTTACCTCTGGTGTCCCACAAAAGGTTGTAGTGGTATCAGAAATAGCAATTCCTTCTTTGCAAAGCCCAAAATCTGTTAAGACAACATGTCCCTGACAAACACAAGGCAGGAAGATAAAGCAATGCATAGATATGAATTAACAAGCTTTAACTGTAACAAGTCTTTATTTTGTGTGTAGGCACGTGTGCTTCTGTGGATCTGTGTATACCACATGAAGGCAGGTGCCGGAGAATACCAGAGGCATCAGACCCTCTGTAACTAAAGATTCGGGTGGTTGTGAGCCACCTGATAAAAATGCTGCGTCTGCCGTAAGACTAGCAAGTGCTCTTAACCACTGATCAATCCCTCAAGCCCCTTAAAGTGTTTTACATGTAGTTGTTTGTTTATTGTGTATGTATGTGTCTTTCTGTGGGGTCTGAGTATCCCTGTGTGAAAAGGAGAGGGAGGGGGAGGAGAGAGGAAGACAGAAGTGCTTATGTGCAGGTCAGACAACTTTGAAGAGCTGGCTCTCTCCTTCCACCATTGGTCCTGGAGACTGAATTCTGCTGGACTTGTGCTGGAGTGTCCTTAACCCATTGTGTGATCTTGCCAGCCATTATTTTTTGTTTCTTTGAGGCAGAGTCTCATATAGCCCAGGCTGGATTTAAGCTTACTATGCAATAGAGAACATTTTGAGCCTCCTGCTTCCACCTCCCAAGAGATGGGATTACACGTATGTGCACCTGAGGCCATGTTTTTTTTTTTTTTTTTCTTTTTTCTTTTTTTAAAGTAAGCTGAAGCCAGGGCCTCCTGCATGCTAGGCGATGACTTTACCCGCTGAGTTATATCCCTGCACCTGAACTGCCAATTCTGAAACCCTTTTTATTTAGAGATAACTGTAAAAACAAATGAAATGGCAAAAACAGTAGAGACTGTAACCTCATCCAGGTTACCCCAAGGGTGAAATTTTGCTCCAATGTCAAACGAGAAGCTGACGTACAAACTGCTCATTACAATATTGACCTCGTTTGGTGTCACTCTCTGGAGTATGTATAACCCCGTGTGTAGGTGTGTAGCTCTATGCGGTATCTTTGTATTGCTGCAGCTCTCCCCACAGTCAAAACAGAGAGCTACTTCCTCACAAAGGGGCCGTCCATGCTAGTCCTGTATTTTTTATGGTCTCTCTTTTCTCAGCCTTGTCCCCTCATCAGCACTAACAGGATTCCTTAACACAGAATGTTACTTCAAGATATAACAGAAATGCAACCATATATATATATATATATATATATATATATATATATAGTATGGTACCCTTCAGATGATTTCCTACTATGCATAACAACAACAATAACAAAATAAAAACTGTAAAGTTTTAAAAAATAAATTTTTAAAAAGATTTTTAAACACGCTTACCATTGAATCCAAAAGAATATTTTCGGGTTTCAGGTCTCTATAAAAGAAGAAAAAAAATCTGAATATCACCTGAAGTGAAATATGTTAAGAGGTACTTTCCATATAATTTAAACAAACGATTCACCTGTACACTATTTTGATGGAGTGCAGGTAACCCAAGGCACTGGCAATTTCAGCAGCATAGAACCTCGCTCTGTGTTCAGGAAAAGACCTCTCTCTTTGTAAGTGAAAAAATAACTGCAAAATTGAGAGAAAGGCTACTTAGTACCAGTCACACATGGCATTAGACAAGAATATTGTTTCTGATATTTTGAACAGAGGATGAAAGTTCACAAGAATGCAGGACTGTACCGTCCATATCTCTCCTTCAACCATGTATCTCTTATCTAGCTACTGTCCCACTCCTGCCTTCAATCACGCACCTTTGCTGCCCTCACTAACTTCTCTCATCTCCCACGTGGGCTGCTCAGTTCTCAGTGGGACAGCATCCACACCATTCCAGACTTCAGAAAAGACCAGGGAAAATCTACAATTCTGTATAAGTCAAAAGCCCCGTGCTGAGGTCTTTATACACTTGTGTTATCTAATAATTTCCCCAACAGTGTTAAATGTAGGAAGCTGATGAGACAGCTGGCTTAGAAGCCAATGTCCAGCATCTCATAACTTATTTTTTGTTGAAACTCCACTGGGTGCTAACGAAGAGATTAAGTAGTATACAAAAACTTTATGCCCCATGTTGAAGTGTGAAGTATGGCTATCAGGGAGAAAATAAACAACAGTAAAAACAAGAGAAGGCACCTAAAAGAAAACGCTAACATCAACAGAGCACAGGATGAACCCATACTCTGCCTCTAACCTTCTTCCTGGTCTTTCTTTCCAGTCTGCCTACAGGCAGCCACATTTAACTCCCTTAAACCCACCAGCACATTCTACAGTGCTTCATCCCCAACCGATTATCCCCGCAGAGCTCATCGTGTAGATGAGGAGCCTGACTCTCTCTACTTTTGCCGGTCGGTCTCAACAACCGCTGTCCTAAAACACCAGAAAGAAATCACAGAAAAGGCAACTTGCAGGGCCCCATCCACTCAGACGTCTCCCATGAACATTTCAAACAGGGGAGGCGGGCGAGAGGCTTGTGACTGAGATGTCTGCCTTCGACTCTGAAGTGGAACACAAGAGCCCTGACAGTCTTTCAATGTAAACGTCCTTATTGCTGGCTACTCGTTTTACATTTATGCTATCTCCCTCTGTCTCTCCTCCCCAACCCTCCTGTTTTTTTTCCCCCAAATAGGGTTTCCTAGAACTCATCAGGACCCAGGCTGGACTCAAACTCAGAGATACTCCTGCCTCTGCCTCCTGAGTGTTGGGAGTAAAGGTATGAGCCACCATGCCCAGCTTCGTTCTCTTTTTTGTGGTCACCTTTATTCTATAGTTAACTGAACAACAGTGACATTGATTCTTCCCTCTTTGCTGAGATGGAGGGACAGATGAGCGCTTTGTAAATGTATTATTAAACTTACCAGTTAAATAAACTTTAGAGACACTTGTGGATCAAAAGTCAAACAAATTAGAACAGTAGGGGGCTGGAAAGTAGAAGAATGGGATGGCTAACTGCCTGAAACCTGCCATCAGGCTGCCTGAGCTCACTCTGTTGGTCTAACTGCATGACTCCACCCGCTGGGTTATCTTCTGTGCCTGTGTTTCTGTCTTACAGAACGTGGCTGTTGTGACACTGAATAATGCTCAAGGAGACAGAGCCCTGGGCATGGAAGTGGTATTTTACACATACTCTCACTGTGTCGGTTAACATAACAGCAGAATTTCCAAGAAGGGTGTCAACAGTCTCTGCTTAAGCGTTTTGAGGACCATGGTTAACTGGCACAAACAAAAGAGGGGACTCTGTGATTAAAACGGTCCTTGTCTTTTAAAAAATCCTTTCTCCAAGACAGATCTCAGCAGACTCTTTAACATGCTGAGATACAGAATGCACCATCAGGGAGAGGATACAACATGAAGCTCTCCTGCTCTGGCTTCACTACGGGGAGGGGTCACTGGCAAAACTGCACATGATGCTTTGAACTCCTGCATGTCCTGCAGGGTGTGTGGTCTGCTGAACACTGCTTTCCCTCTGCAAACAGCTGTTGATAAAGCACTGTCAGCTCAAGGCTTGCATAAGAACCTTTTGGATTTCATGTTACCTTTTTCTCCTCTACCCACTGTCTGTGTTAGACAGCTAATTATAAAACTCACCTCCCCTCCATTAACAAAATCCAGAACAAAATAAAGCTTCTCAGTTGTTTGGAAAGAATAATGCAATCCAACCAAAAATGGATGTTTCACATTTTTCAAGAGCACATTGCGTTCAGCCATAATATGTTTTTGCTGGAAAAAAAAATGTAAAATATCAATTTGTATAATATACCAGAAAACAACTGCTAACAAAGAAAATAGGGTCAGGAGAAACAAGAGCTATTTTATTTTACCTCCTTTCTGTTGAGAACTATTTTTTTCTGTAACACTTTGACAGCATAAAATTTTCCATCCAGTTTTCGTTTTGCAAGAAGAACCTGTTAGAAAGATTTGCAAATGATTAGAAAGTTTGCAATTTTAAAGTTTTTAAGACTGCAAAAGTTTCTAAAAAGCAAATCCACAAGGGACCTGTATTTTGTTTTGAGTACTGAACATTACTGAATTTACTTCTGTAATTTGATTTTCTCTTAAGTATTTTAATAAAACAAAAATGGCACTGATTATTTGAGATTATTTATTTGTTACTTAATGTATTGGGAATGACATTTTTACTAAATTAGTCATCAAAATAAACACCACACAAGGGAAGGACTTTTTGCATGTACCAGCCTTGAACCACACAAGCTTCGCTTACAGGGTCTGAATTCACAAGAGTTCAGAGGAAGAGGCAACCACAGTCCATTGTACTTTTATAATGGTTTGCCTTGTCTGTATTACTAGAAAACAGAGGATGTTGTACCAGACGAGAAAAACATTTTCAAGGTCATACTACATATAACAACAACGACTGGGTCCATGACTGACTGCATACAAGGCATCGACACATAGTAGGCTGTAGTATTTAAGTTTGCGTGAATACACTCTGTGAGGTCCCCAAAGTGACATTTCCGTGCAATACATGACTACAACTGTAAGGTGTCTGAGGCTAGCACAAGCGAAGCTGTGTAATTACTAAACGTGTTCCAGGACACTGAGAAAACCTCACATATCAACTCTTGACATGTGTGTGCTTACTTCTGTAACCTCCACTGTCCGTTTGGTCCAAACATACAAACTCACTCTAAACATGACATAAACACCAGAGCAGCCCAACACAGGGGCTTCCTACAGGGAAACTTCAACACTGTCAAGGTCATAAAAAACAAAAGATGTTTGAGGAACTGACAGCCAAGATGAACTAAGCAGACAAGAAACCTATGTGCAAAGTGGCAGTAGGTTAGAAAAAGGTAAAAGCTACAAAATCAGAGTAAATGACGTGTGTACATTAATATGGACATCAACACTGGTTTGCTGTGACAGATGAACAATACTAACATACGGTACATGAGAGGGCATGGCATTGAGAGCTCCGATCTCCCCCATAGTGTAGTTCTTTCTTTAGTAACAGGCAAATTTGGACAACAGATAAAAAAATTAAGAAGAAAGTCAGCAAATGGAACCAGAACCAGAGCCACACTTGAAACGCTGAGTGACACCAAGGCCTCTAGGAAGATCTGGGCAAACGACAACGACTCCACCTGGATACTGTGATACTGTGCCGAACTGCCCCAACTGGCCCACTGGCCTTGCCTGAACTGGGAACAAATAAGACACCCAGAGAGCTGGCTGCCACGTTTTGCCTAAACAAAATAAGGCTGATCATTCTCCCAAGTTCCTCTTCCATGGAAAGCCCTTTTATGGCCAGTACCCGAAGCCTGGAAGATCGAGGCTGCGATGCTGCCCTAGGACTGTGCCCACAAGAGCCACCGACACCAGAGGAGCCTAATGGGAAGGCTGCTTGGATTATGCTTCCAGCGATAATTTATCCTTCTCAGGTCTCTGATGGGTTTGAAGATCAGTTTAACAGCAGAAACCAAGGCTTCACCTCTCAAAAATGTAGTTTATGTAAGGTCTGAGCTTCTGCTAATGTTTGAGGGTCTAAGAAGGTGTTTTAAAGGTTGGTGATAAGAAAGTAATTTCAGGTATATAAAAACTCTTCCCCCAAATAGGCTACTGTTGTTTTAAGACTGTTCAGAGCTTTAACATTAAAAATTGTCTCCCAAGCCAATTTGTCTCTTTTTGTTAACTTAAAAAGATTCTTGTAAGTTTCAGGAGATCCACTGGAATCCACAGGTCATACTCCAGGTAAGTTCTGCCAATCAGCAGCCTGTTTGCCAGCCTACCTGTTCCTGAGGGTGGGATTCCTCCCCTGGTTTGGGGACTCCCCTCCCCCAACTACCAAGACCATGGGCCTAAAAGTTAAACTTCTTAACTTTATCTTCTGCTCGAACATACATATGTTCCCGAATCCTGAAGAGCCGCATCCAGAACTCAGGTGCTCTGGCCTAAACCTCATAGACCACATCAGCTAAACCTGCAGTTTCAAGGCCACAGACCCTGAACAGCAAACAGAATAGCCTGCTCTTGGGACTTGGCCAACATTCCAGCTCCCCCCCCAAAAAAAAAAAAAAACAAAAAACCAACGGCTCTGATGTCGGCCATTAGTAGCCAGAAAAGATGCCCAATATCCATTTATTATCAACAAAAGTCTGGGATGTTAAAGTCCCTACCGGCTGAAGGGACCCTGCCCTCCGATAGCTCATTCTGTTTTATTTAATCAATCAACATTCTCTTATGATACTTCCTCGAAACCCTGACATTCTCGGCATGGATGGCCACTGTCAAGTTCTAGAATGGCTCTGATGCTCTTAGATTAAGCAAGGTCTATCACACATGTAATGACTCACACGTGTAAAGCAGACACTCCTTAAGTGATTACTCATGGAAGGGAACATTAAAAACTCTTACCTTGCCAAAGCTGCCCTTTCCAATAACTTTTAAGAAATCAAAGTCAGTTGGTTTAGCACTGAAAGGAATTAACAATGGCAAAAGAAAAAAATGAGTCTTCTAGAAATTAAGATATGAACGTTTAAACATTAGTACATCACCTTTGTTAAGAGCTAGGATCTCCTCCCAATTAAAATTATATAAGCCCTAGTTAAGCCCTCTTTAAGAGACACCTCAGTAATATTCTAAGAGGAAACAAGCCTTTATATGCATCATAATACATAGATAAAAATATATCTCGCAGAGTAGTTTCTTTCTGAGCCAGTTTTATTCATCACAAACCTAAGCACTGCGATTGGTGAAGAAACTTTAACTACGAAGTTCAAGCAGTGTTTGGTACTGAGTAGTTCTAAAAAACAAGGTACTAGGTGCTAGCACCCAACAAAGATGCCAAGAAAGTTTTTGGGTGGAGAGAAGTCCCTACGGCACATTGGAATGAAAGAGTTCCCTGGGCTGTTCTCAGGGATGGCAATGAAGGAAAGCCAGGAACAAAACACCAGAGACCGACAACACTGCCTTTTATTTACTTTAGCACTGGCTGTGTGCAGGACGGTAGCAGGTAGAGTGTTGGACTTAAGCATCTAGGAGTGTTTTCTCCCAGAGAGCCTGAATCCTAAGTCATACTGGAGGGATCATGGTATTTAGGTATCTAACAAAAACACGCAAAACAACAGGCTGATTTGATTAACTGGCAGGTGAAGGTGCTTGCCACCAAGCCTGATGACTTACAAGAACTGACTCCTACAAGCTGTCCTTTGGCCTCCATACACATACCATGGTACAATCAGTAAATAAATAAAATATAAAAAGGTTTGGAGTCTGTTAACACACATTTAACCAACACTAGGTCTAGGTTAAGTATCAAAATAGGTAAAGATTAACACGGAAGCAGTAAGCAAATAAGCCAGACTCAGGAGGGCAAACAGCTCACATCTTCTGTCACAATCTAGATGTAAATACATACATCCTCTATCACACACAGAGCATGCAAAAGCAGTGAGACTATGAAGGGGGAAGCAGGGATCTGGAAGTAGGGGAAAGGTGAATAAAGACAAGAGAGGAAATGACAAAACACATTTTCTTTCTTATGCTGAGTCAAGGCTTAACAATATGTATGTACAGACATACAAATAACAGGAAACCAGACTATTTGGCAGAGAGGGAGGAGACCGATAGACTGAGGCGCTAAGGGGTATGTGTTGGGGGAGTGGACAGGTACAAACGAAACAATAATACATATATGAAAATGTCGTAAGAAGCCATTAAAAAAAAAAAGTCATTTTTAGTATGTTAACTACAAAGTTAATTAAAATAAGCAGGACACAGTAAAATACCTAACTAAATATAGGTGTATTTCTTCTACAAGAACCTGTTCTTTGGGCTACTTTGTTCTTTAATGAAATACTGTTTTAAACAGAGGGAGCAAATGTGACCGTGGAAATACAGGCAAATCTCTTCCAGGAGCAAACAGGATGAGGCCCCACATAACTGCTGACCAGTGGCGACTGGACTGACACACACACGAACCAAAGTAAACGGTTTTAAAACAAAAAAGTCTAGCATTTTAGTTGTGCTCGGCTAGAGCAACGAAGCGTGTGACAGCATTACATTCTCTGTAACTACTGACATACTTCACAGGCTTCCGGTTAAAACGGTGTAACTTCACATAAATGCACATTCTCAAAGACAAAGCTGGAATAAATTAAACTTACTGAGGGTTTCCAGTCGGTCCCAGGTTGATGTTCTGTGAGGTAGTACGTGGCTGTTTAGTGAGGGAAAATAGTATTCTCGTTAGTGTTAAAAGACTGTCAATCAACGGATGCTTTGATGTAAAACTACACAAGTGCACCCCAGGCAACAATATGCATCAAAGAAGCCTCAAGTCCTAATTCTTAAAATATAACCAACATAAGCCGTCACTTGTATCATGGGAACTTTCAAGAGCAGTTGCAAGGAGAAAGATGAGCCAGAACTGACACTCAGAGTTAAACTGTCAAAGTCAACAGGCAAAGCTGCTTAGGAGAGGTAAGTGCTGAAACACTAATATGAGCAATCATTTTTACATTAAAAAACCGGTTACCATGGCTGTGGTACTGAGGGGGGGGGGGTGATGGGAGGCACCAGAGACATGGCTCCATGGTTAGGAACACTGGCTGCTCTTCAAGAGGACCTGGGTTTATTTTCCAGCACTGACAGGGTGGCTCACAACCCCAGTTCCAGGGAATCTGACAACCTCTTTTGGACTCTGCAGGCACTGCACGCATGCGGATCACCATAGTTATAGGCAACACACCCCGTATGTGTGAACAATAGAATTAAATGTCTTTAAAAATGAGTAAATAAAATCAAGTAAGGGTTTTGGGGCTGGAGGAATGTCTTGGTGGGTTAAGATGCTTGATTCCAAGCCTGAAACCCGCGTTTGATCTCTCAGACCCCTGTGGCAGAAGGACAGAATCTACTCCCTCAAGTCGTACATGCCATGGCATGCACCCCACCCCAAGTTTTCTTAAAGCCACCGTTCCTACAAATAGGAGGGCTTAGTTCCAGATACCGTACAAGAACTTGTCTAGCAATGAACTCTGTTTCTTAAGAAGTTCTTAGTAACTGAGCTGGTGAGGCACCGCAGGTAGCGGTGCTTGCGGCCAAGCCTGCTGAGGGCCAAGCCTGCTGAGCTGAGGCTGACTCCCATGGGACCCACTTGGTGGAAGGAGAGAACCAACTCCCACAGCTGTCCTCTGACCTCCACCCCCATGTCCACACATGGGCATGCATGTGTGTTCATGTGCGTGCACACACACAAGCAAATAAATACAATTAAATACACTCTTTCAATAACCTAAACCAACAAATGTTTACGGAAGTAGCAGGTTAGCAGCCCAAGAATGGAAGTCGTATTTACATGGCTTTTACTTCTTAAAGGTACTATTTGAATGGCTTGTCTTCTATTAAGAGTATAAGCCCATGGTTGGGAAACAAAGTAGAAGGAGGCAGGAGATTTTTAAACATCCATGTCCTTGTCACTATATTATGCCAGTATTTACATATCATTTCACCTTTGCATATCTTTTAAAGAAACTATATTTCAATGTGAATATGCTTAAAATGTATATACTGATTTCACATACTAGTATGTCAGTACTTAAAGAATACATATTAGGACAAGCATGACCATGCTGAAATAAACACTGATTTTTCAGGATGAAAGATTATCATGTATAAATTCCTAAGTGAGGAATTTTTATATCTGACATGCACTGACCAACTGCTTGCCAAGATTATATATTACTTGTACTTTTAATTAGCATATACGATACCCTGACTTACATTTTTATGTTTTCCTCACAGCACCCAGAGGTGAATACTAAAAATCACTTCCAAAAATATGCTTATTCTACTTAATTTCAATATTAAGAATAACCTGGATTATGCCCTTTACTGTAAAATACAATATCTACCTATTTTCTAGGAGACAATGCTCAGGGCTGGGGAGATGGCTCAGTGGGTAAAAGCACTTGTCATGAAAGCCAGAGGACCGGAGTTTGGATCCACAGAAGCCACAGAAGTGCCAGGTGGGCATGGTGGCTCGTCTGTAACTCCGGCCTCAAGGGTGGAGACAGGAATCCCCAGAGCAAGCTGCCTGGCAAGACTAGCCATGTTGGTGAGGTATAGGTCTGACTCCAACACCCTGCTTCTCTGAGTAAAATATAAGTGCACTTTAGAAGATCCCCAATATCAACCTTGGGCCTCCACACACATGAACTACGTAAGAGCACACACATATACATGAAAAGAAAGAAGGGGTTGGGGAACAGTCAGTAAATGGTTTACTGGTCTAGGTGTTCCACAGTGCAGAAAGCCTAGACAGACAAGACGACTTGGTTCTCAGTCAGTCTGCTCTAATGGAAGACAGCATCTGTGAGGATGCTACTCTGGTAAGCACAGCGCCTCCTGCTACCTTCGGAGTATTTCTTTCGTCCTCATCTTCAGATGGATCTGACTGATGTCTGGGGCTGTCCATTTGAAGGAATGCTCTGACATCTGGGCTGCAAACAAACACAGATTCATTACTCCATCAGCATGTACACAGCTCGTCTTTCTTTTAAAGGAGAATGGAAACAGACACCACCACATTAGCATTTGTAGCAAGAAAAATACAAACTGTATTACTCATTATATCAGAATAAATAAGTTCTGCTTTTAAGAAGAGGGAACCCAGCAAAGGAGAAACAGACGGTTAACAGAAGAGGAAATCCAAGTGGAAACTGATACTCAGATGTATTTCACATCTATTAATTAGCAAAAGTCAGTGTGACAGAATGATACCCAAACTAGGATGGGCCACACTCGTGCTGCTGGTGAGAATGGAGAATGAGGCAACTTTTTTTGGAAAGAGTCTGGCAATATTCAGAGAAACTGTGAATGCAGTTTTCCTAGACGAAGACACTCCCACTCTAAATGTAAGCCATGAGGTGGGGTGGGGAACAAGGTGTCCTATGAACAGGTTCATTTAAAAGCCAGGAGGCTTATTTCAGCCTGCTGTCTCTCATGATATATTGGAGGCGGAGGGCCGTCTGCCACCAGGAGGAGCAAAGCCTGCTATGGTAAACTGCCTATAGAGGACACGAGTTGGCAGTCGGCGATGTCAGAAGCCTATAGCACCAGAACATTTTAGCGTGAGACATTGTCTCTGGTGCTCTATGGTGAACATAGATAGCTGGCCTCTCCTCTCTGTAGTCACTAAATACCCACAGATGCAAGGTAAGGCTCTCCAAAGAAATGGGGATATACATTAGAGTAGATCTCCACATTTAAGATGAAATGGGTACAAAGAAACAAGCTGATTGGGGTGGGCGAACCAAAACAAAAGCAGACCATTCACAGGTTAACGAAAATGCCAACAAATGGCCAGATTGCTATCCTGATGTTCACATACGTTTATCAGGATTTTCAGTAGTCCACGGATGGTCTTAACAACTCAGTAAAAATAGTACTTGTTAACAACTAGAAAAATAAAAAAGTACTTTTGAAAAGGAGGCAATTTACAGATGTTAAACACTATCACTTAATGATCCACTCTTAGATTTACATGGACAAAACGTAATAATATGCATTCTCCCAAATTTCATACACAAATTTTCACAACTGCATTGTTGGTAACAGCACAAAAGGAGAGATGCTACAAATGTTCACCAGCCAATAAATGGATAAACACAATGTGGTAAACCATGTTTCTGAACAGGATTCAGCAACAGGAAGAAATGAAGTATCTATACCTGTTACAACAGGGATGAACCTAAAACATTACACTGACTGAAGGGGAAAAAAAAAACGTGACACATATTGTATGACTTCACTAAAAGAAATGCCTAGGACAGACAGGTTTTTAGACAGAGCAATGGTTATCAAGCATTTTCCTTGTTGAGACATGGAAATGTCAGATTAGACTCTGAAGTGACAGAAGCAGACATGAATGATGGTTCAGCTCTGTGAATACGCTGAAAAACATCAAATTGAACACTTCTGAGCCTCTAAAGAAAAAAAAATGTAAATATGGGAAAAAGAATCTTCAATCTTTTGACCTTTTATGTTGGCCTTATTCTCTGCACAATTTTGGTTATGCCATATTTACATTTTTTTCTTATGGTATCTACTTCAAACTTTGTGAGCCTCTCCCTGTGCTGTTAAAGGCTTTCCCCATCAGATTTGACAGACTATACTCCTGGTCGCACAGATGCGCCAACAGTCACCCGACGGCTTCTGGCTTCTCACACACAGCCTTCACGCACAGCAGACGGCACCGCAAAGGCAGGCCTTGCACTTAGCACTACGGCTGCATTACGACTTGCAAGACAGATTTAACTTTTTTAAAAAACTTAATTATTTGTGCGTATGGAGGCGAAGGGATTGTGTGCTGTGGTGCATGCGAGGACGTCAGAGGCCTTCCACCTTTATGTGGTCCTAAAGAGGAAACTCAGGAGGCCTGGCTTGTATAACTAATGCTTTCACCCACACAGCCATCTAACCAGTCCCAAAATTTTAAAATCAGAATCATTTAGAGTTTGGGGCTGGGCATTATGGTGCACGCCTCCAATCCTAGCACTCAGGAAGCAGAAGCAGACAGGATCTACGAGCTAGAGGCCAGTCTTGTCTCCTGAGTGAGTCTACACAGAAAAACCCTGTCCCCCAAACAACAAAACAGAACAAGAACTATTCAGCCTGAATTGTTAACTTGTAACACTCTAGCTCCAGCCTCACAACTATTTCCAGAAAGGTTACACCAATTTTTATTCTCCTAGTTTTTATGAACATCTGAAGATTCTCCTAGCTGTGGTTAGTGTTTAACAAGTGACATGATTTCATTCTTACCACGGGGTAACTTGACCAACCTTAACAGCAATTAACGTCACACATTGTATCAGGGCTTGCTCACCAGAATGGCTAAAAATGAGACTGGTAGGAAAAAGTTCAGCAATGTTGGTTCATGTACTCAAGACAGGGGCGCAAACTGCCACACCCACCTTGGAAAGCCACTGGGCACTATGCCCTGGGGTTAAGTAAACACCCCACGGCCAGCTTCTTCAAGAATGCCTGCACACGTGCACCGTAACTTACCCATGGTAAGGCCAGGAATACTTGTAACAGCCAGAAAAAAAAAAAAAAAAAGTCATGTCTTTGGAAACGCCTACATATAGTTCCAGTATTGCTCTACAGAGTGAGGTGTCTTCAGGACTGTATTCATCCTGCCAGCGAAGGACACACTGGTACAGGTTAGAGTCTCTGGAAAGCAGCCTTGACAGGTGCATTTATTTCAAAGCTGTTAGGAACAAGGAGTTTTGTGTGCAGTCTATATATGTGGCTCCCCAAGGCCCAGCAACAGTCTGAGGTTCAGATGAAAAGCATGAAGACTGACTTTCTATTAACGCAGAAATGCTTGTCAGTGACACTGGATGTGTTGTGGAATATTTCACAGCAATGGACATTACCAAGCCAGACGGAGAACACACACGGTGCAACTTTATCTAGACGAGGTTTAAGCCAGGCCACACTGCTCTGTGTTTTTAAAATCAGAATTGTGGTTACCTTGGGAAAGAGAGGAGGAATGGAAGTCGAAATGAGGTGTGTGAGCGGCTTCAGAGGTGCTGGGAACGGTCTCATGACTAGCCTGTGCACAACAGTCTGGGCATTTTATTTGTATTAAAGTTAAAGGGAAGTATTCTCACTTCCATTTTCATCTCCTGTTTTTGTCTTGCTGTTCTTGTTTCATTTTTGTAAGGTTTCATGCAGTCCTAGGCTGGTTTTGAACTGCTGACCTTCCCACTTATCTTTTTAGTCTTATTTTTATGTGTATAGATGTTTTGAGTGCGTACGCATCTATGCACCAAGACTTGCATGCAGTGCCTGCAGAGGCCGGAAGATGGCGTCAGATCACCTAAGACTGGAGTTACAGGTGGTTGTGAGCCACCATGTAGGTACTGGGAAGAAAACACGGGTCCTCTGCAAGAGCAGCTACTACTTTTAACTACAGAACCATCTCTCCAGTGCCCCGCCTCCACTTTCTAAGTGTGGGGATTACAGGAATGTACCACCATGTCCAGCTCCAAGTTCCTTTTCCACTTCTTAAACACGTAAGGAAAGGTTCATTGCTAGTGATAATCAGCATTTTCACATTTTCTTTTTAAATTTGTTTCTATTGTATATGTAGGAGTGTTTTGCCTATATGTCTGTGCACTGTACGTATGTATACCATATGTGGAAGCCAGAAGGTGTCAGATTCCTGGAACTGGAGCGACAGACGGTTGTGATCTACATGTCTTGCTAGGAATCAAACCCAGATCCTCTGAAGGACAGCAAGTCCTCCAAAGCACTGAGCCATGTCTCCAGCCCCACGCTTTCCTTTTGTTTCAGTGTGTATTGTTTGCACTGGCTTTCTTTCAGTATATTTATCTATTATCCTTTATCATGGCAAAATTCTGTGTATTTTTGTTTTTTTGTTTTACTTACTAGTTTAGGATTTTAGTCAAACATACAACTGTTTTGCTTTGGGATCCATCGTTTACTGGCAATATGTTCCACTCCGCCTCCCCCCCCCCCCCTTTTCATGCAAAGGTCAGAGAAAAAAAAAAGACTATTCCAGTTAACACACATAATTTAAAATCACATTTCCATTAAGTTATTTTAAAAAATACTTTTTCCTGTCAAAATGAATCTATTTGGGTCAAGGGGAAGTTGTGAAAGGGTCTAATACAGTCCAAGCTGGCCTTGACCTTCTTATCCTCCTGCCTCTGCCTCCCAGGTATGGGACTGTACGTATGCTCCACCAAGGTTAATGAAGCCACTTCAAAGTGTGTTGTCTCCCTAACAGCAGTAACAAGCACACAGGAAGTGCCTGTGTTACACTTGCTATTTGGCTTCTCCCTCTCTTACATGCAGCATTTTAAGATGATTTGATATTAAAATGAAAACTAAGTTCCGTTAACAAAAGATGAAATCTACATAAAATACCAAGTGCCTCATTTTATTAAAAAAGAAAATGTCAGCTAAGAATGAAGTTTATAATCTTGGTTATTTGTTCATCCTGTTCTGGAAATGTCTTCTATTCTGAACTGATAACACTCACTTATAAAGTATGTGTATACAAACACACACACACACACAAAACCAAAATCTGTTGTCACAAGTGATCAAAGTGCAGACAGTAAGTGCAGGGAGTGCTCAACTCCAAATGGCTTGGAGAGCATCTCAGAAGAGGGAGCAGAAAGGGCAACAGCCCGAGGCTGGGGTGGTTACAAGTGAACCTGTCTACACTTCTGGCACATACAGATAACACTCACGTGACTTAATCCTAATGAACATGATAGATATTGAGGTACTTTTCCAGGTGATGAATAAATAAAGTATCAAACAACTAGCAAGATATTTTAACTGTGTAACACAAATTTATTTAAGCAGCAATCCATAAAACTTCTATGCCTTGAAGAGCAAGCCAGGAAGCAGCATTCCACCATGGCTTGTTTCAGTTCCTGCCCTGACTTCCCTCAGTGAGGAGCGAGACCTGAGAGCTGTAGAATGAAATAAACCCTTTCCTCTCCAAGTGGCTTTTCACAACAGCAGAAACCTCTCTAAGACATTATACAAGGATGAAAGGAAGGAAAAGTCAAGTGGACAGAGAACATCGGAACATGTTCTATGCCGATTTCACAATCAATCACATTTCACAAAACTCAGAAGGCTTAGTCAACACTCGTGGGTTTGGCCTCACTTGTCTCTTGAGAGCAAAAAGAAAGTACTTACTGATTATAAAGCTCTGGGTATCTGACTAAGTTCTGGATGAACTCATTCAGTCCTGCTCTTCTTTGTTTAATAAAGTCTGAAAGAGAGAGGTACAGCAGCAGTCATTTCTGTCAGCCTACAGAACTCTCACGGAACACTGATGGGAGAAGACACAAGCACAAGGCAGTAAGCTGTGGCTGAGGAGCTGCTTCAGAAGAGAACCACAGCTTCACTGCTGGAGGCAGGAGAGAGCTAGTGCCAGAGCACTTTTGCTCTTAAGTATCATGACGCTGAAAGTTGCCTCTTACTGAAGAACCATTTGCTATCTATCCTTAGCGCATCGCTTACGTATCTTCTCAGCAGTGAAGCAGATCCTGTATCATAGACCCCAGGGAATAAACAGGTGAAGCAGCAGTGCATGCCGGAGGCTGAGACAGGAGGATCATGTATTTAAGGCCAGCCCAAGCTACCCAGCAAGATTCTATCTCAAAAAAAGCAAAGTTCTGAACGACTATATTCTTCAGTGAACACACAACCTACTTCTTACTTCAACCGGAACTCAGAGTTAAGACTGCGAAGCTTTCGCTTACCTGGATCAAAATTATCACCGAATATTCTCTTGGCAGGTATCTTCAGAGCCATAGCAGGGAACTGTTTCTTCAACTGAATTTTAAAAAACATTTCGTGAGTTAATTTCTGAAGTTGTTTGTGTCTGCACAACACAATATGATCTTAAGGAAAATTATTCATAGTATGATGATACAATACTAATACCTATGAATAAAAGGCCACAGGCTGAGTAACCATCTTATTTTATCCCAGGAAACTATTTAGTGTCTTTGTGGCCTTGGATAGTTATTTAACATTTCTGGGCCTGGGGGGGGGGGGGTTGAGGGGATGTTGTTTGTGTCTGTAAAATGAGGATCAGCTACTTGAGCATCTTTCAGATTTTGTTGTGCAGTTCCCCGTTCAGTAAGCATTTAGACTGAACAATGTATCTGGGTTTTGCAGGTACTACCCAACTTTTACCTCAAGAAATGTCCTCTTTGAGATCTACAGCAACAGATAAATAACAATTTTCAGAGAAAGTGAATTATGTTTGCTTTCAATACTCTCAACACACACACACACACACACACACACACACACACACACACAACAGGTCATGTTCAGCCTTTTTTCTGTAGTTTTAAATAATACGGTGAATACTGTTTTCTGTGGTGACAAGAGGCAGAATTTGAAACAGCTGTAAGAAGGACAAAATTATCAAATAAAAAGATGAAAATGTAAAAAAGTGGGAGAAACGTGGAGAGATGGTCATTCAGGGATGTAAGGAGAGACAACAGGTCAGTGCTCAGCCAGCTCTAAAAAATAATTTTTAAAAACTCCTAAAAACATCACAAAGGCTAGCACCGCTGTTACTGGCTGCTATTTATCTCTAAAACTGTAATTTCGCTTACAGTCACTACCTTGAAATCCTTTGTTAAGCAGTATGTAAAACAATGAAGGGGAAATTCAATTACATAAGCTTTAATGAAACATCAAGAACAGAGAACAGTAAGCACTGTCCCTGAGTGGTAATATTTAAGGCAATGGCTTAAATTTAATCTACTTTAATCATTCCAATCCACTTGGGAAACAGTTTGTCTCTTAGCTGAGATAACCCTAACTTCTTTAATATATTTTTGAAAAATCTTAAAAATGACAGCCTTCATATTTTACTTCAAATTCACCTATTTTTTTCAAACTTTATTAATGTGGACGTGTATGCGACTTTGTATGTGCACTGTGGGCAGAGAAGATACTGAAAACCCTCAAAAGGAGTTCAAGGTGGTTGTGAGCCACCCGTGAGGACCCTTTTCAAGAGCAGCAAGGGCTACCTTCCCAGCCCCAAGATTTACGTATTTTAAAATCAAGAGACAGAGTTAAGAAATAAAGAATTACCTTTCTGAGTATAAACGGAATTTTTCTAGAGATGCCTAGTGATCCACTCATTAAATGCACCGGAAGGCACGACTGAGTTTTGTTTACTCCTTTGTTACCCCTAACTGAAAAAAAGCTTGGGACCTCAGAGCTGTTCTAACCCAGACTCCTACAAGAGCCACTGCTGGTCTACCAACATCAGCACCTGGCAGAACCCGGCCTGATGCCTGCAAGGACCCTGGTACCTCACTGCATATGTTAAAAACTATGTGCAGAGGCTGGAGAGATGGCTCAGTGGTTAAGAGCACTGTCTGCTCTTCCAAAGGAGCTGGGTTCAATTCCCAGCACCCACATGGCAGCTTACAACTGTCTGTAAAACAAATTCCAAGGAATATGACTCCTTCACACTAATGCATGTAAAATAAAATTAAATAAAACATATTAAAAAAACATGTGCAACTGTATGCACTGGATTGTACACTACTCACTAGTCAGATTATGAATAAAAATGGCTTCAGTTACTTAGTTAATGATCTCTTAGACATCAAACTCCTGACTTAGTTAATGGTCTCTTAGACATCAAACTCCTGTAGAAAGTCGGCAATCTTCACGCATAGGCTGGACCTAGTCCCCTGCACATATGTAGCAGAAGGGCAGCTTGTTTTTCACATGGGTGCCCTAACTACTGGAATGGGGGCTTTCTCTGACTCTGTTGCCCACCATTGGATCCCTCCCCCTAGCTGCCTCAGTGGGAGAGGCTGTGCCTAGCTCTGCTGTGACTTGATGTGTCAGGGCAGGTTGGTATCTTTGGGGAGGGGGATTTTCACTTTTCTGAGGAGAAGAGAAGGAAAAATGGGAGGAGGGAGGTGTGAGGGGGAGTCTGGGAGGAGAAGAGGGAAATGGGCTGTGGTCAGGATGTAAAGTGAATAAATTAATTAATGGAAAAAAATAATGTCACAGAAAAGGAGTGTACAGCTGATGCTTTCAGATCTACAGCATAGAGCTGAAGATTTTAACCAGAACTGCCTTGAGGAATACCATTATTACTTGGCATAATGGACTTGTGCCTAATGTCATTGGACACTGAACTGTCCTTGAGCTCTTTATCTCTTTTCTCACCCTCAATGTCTGTAAGGAATTGTCCTGTCTTTCCACATTTCACATAAAGATTGTAAGGTAAGATGCCTCTGAAGAATCCCTTTTCCCTCTTTTGCTTGGTAACGTGTTTATTTACTCATTCAAATACACCTTCAGCTCATGGATTTAGTGTTTTGCTTTAGACAGGAATGATGTAGTCTCTTACAGAATTGTAAAGTTTGTCGAATTCTGCGTATCTCCTGAAGACAAACCATTCGCTTCTGCCCACAGAGACCAGAACTTTATAAACCTGTAGAAACAAAAAAAAGATATAGTTTAACAAACATGGACTACAAAGATGCCATACATAAAAACTGTCTTAAAGTTCACAAAACTGATAACTGTTCATATAACTCTCCACTATAAGAAAACACATATCAAATAAAGCACAGTATTTCATCTTCTAAAATCTTTTTTGTCTAGCAATGTTAACTATTCTTTACTTTTGGGTAATTTAACATCTGCATTTAAAATTTTATGTACACAACTTCTTTGTAACAAGCTTTAAACAAACACATACACACACACATTAGTGTGAACTATAAGCTGATAGTTTTTTTTTTAAATCCCGATTAGAACATCACAAGTAACTCAAGAAGACAGTATTTGACTTCTTATTCCCAGATCAGCTTTCACACAGTAGTTTTCAAATAATAACTGCATCCTTACATTTTTCTAATTCTATATTACAAATGTGTCTAATATCTTCATAGACAACCTCACTGAATTATAACCATCAATCCTATGAAGCAAACAGAATTATATCCCTTACTAGATGTGAGAAAATGCCAGTCAAAAAGTTGATTTACTTAATCAAAAAAGATATAAAACTTCAACTAAAAACCTTTATGTATCACCCCTCCCCCAACATATGAGAACTGGCATTAAATCATCCACAGGTACAGAATTAACTTTCATAATCCAGCCCAAAGATAGCCTCAGAAAACAACTCCACATATTGTAATGAACTATGAGAAAAAAAAGATGCTATCGTTTCTAGCAAGGATGGAACAGTAAGCATAGGATATAAACACGGGTGGCTGATGAAGGGCTTGGGTTACAAATCCAATTTTTATAGTGGTAACTGGTTATGAGTTGATTCAGTAAATGTGTGTCCACATTCTCCTAGTGTCAGAAAAACTAGGTTCATCTCAGACGGCCACACAAATGTGTACAAATGATCCTTTCCTCCAAAAGGTGAGTAGTTCACATTTAAAGTTCGTATGAAATGAGGCTGTGAGGAAGGCAAGGCTCTAATACTTCGTGACGCACACCGTATGAACGGTCACGCTGGCAGGGCCCTGGGACATAAAGCCGTATAAAGCTCCAGCCTTCTATGAGAGGAGTGATGAAAGCTCACTGGAGGCAAGGCAAAGCCGCTGGTACCAGGCAGCTGGCAAGTGCTGGGTCAGCTTAGGCACCTTGAGCTGCAGACGCTGAGGAGTCAGAGGGGCTGCTCTACGCCAACTGTTAGTTCATGCTGTGAAATACACTCGGGATGTCATGAAACTTGTACTTTTGGAGAATAACCACGGACACCCCTTTATTCACTGCACGTCAGAAATGAGGAGACCCACAGATCAGCCAAGTGACTAAGACTAGACTGTGGGGTCTCCCGATTGGGAGACGGAAGCAGCACAGGCACGAAGGACAAAACTAGGTCTGCGTGACCGTGCGCGTCTTAAAACCCTGTACCCATTTCCTGGTGAATATGCCGAGGAGGGAGATGGGCTCCCCTGGCCACCCAGCTACAGCCAAGACCATAGCCTAGCCTAGGTTCTAGGACAGAGACTCTCTGCAGCAAACACACACACAGACACACACAGACATACACATACACAGACTCAAATAAGCTCCAACACTAACAACAACAAATCACAAACAGGCAAAAACTGCAAACCTTTCAAATTAAAAAGATATTTTCTAAGATTTTATTTTACATCTAAGAATGCCTGTAGGTGTACCTGCGCACCATGTGCAGGGCCCTCGGGGCCACTAGATCTTCAGGGGCTGGAGTGGAAGATGGCTGTGGGGTACCATGTTGGTTTGGTGCTGGGAACTGAAGCCAGGTCCCATGGAGAAGCTGCCAGTGCTCGTAACCTCCGAGCCATCTCTCCAGACAGACAATTCTCATTAAGTCTACACTACGTCTACTTAAGGGTCTGGTATTAGGTAAGGCCTTCCTCAAAGGACCTTACATTTTGGTAGGCAAGGTCCACATAAAAAGACAAAATAGACTAGGTAGTGAAAATGGCTATTAAAAATTAAGTAAGGTAAGAGGGACAGAGAATGGAAGTGGTAGGGTGAGGTGCGAAGGTGCTGTTTTGTTTTTTAAGTACAAACATACACACACAGCTTCAACTCAGAAACCATTCCGGCATCTGAAGGAAGTATATGAACAAGATGACTTGCATAGAGGCTCTGAACAACCAGGGCATAGCAGGAGAGTATCAGGGCCAGGGTCCTGGTAAAGGCCTTCCTGACTCTTTCACAGAATGTATCAAAGTATCTCTCCTTGAAAAGAGCAAAGTACACTTAGGTTAATCTTGTCCACGCTGCCAAACTTGGTGGGAGGGAACTTGAAGTTCCTGAAGGACAGAATGGCCCAAAGGTAAGAACCAGGAGTAAAGGAAAAAAAAAGCTATGTACACTCCAGTATTTTACCCTAGATACAACAGCCCTTTGCTAACCTTCAAGGTGAAATTGCTAAAAAAAAAAAAAAAAAAAAAAAAAAAAAAAAAATTGCTTATACATGTATATTGGCAAGCACACATGTGACAGATATACACACTTCTGCAACATAGAGGCTAGGGAGAGATAAACAACCAGATACACACTCTGACCTCTCTATTTGTGTAAATGTAGCGAGGTGTGTGTGTGTGTGTGTGTGTAAGCTTGATGGGAGGTGAGGAAGGGAAAACGGAGCCAGTGAACTGTTTCGTGGTTCTACATTTGAATGCTGCGGGCGCTACCATTTGGGGCCGCCTCTACAAACCAACAGAGAAGAGTACAGCGGTTGGTGTAACACTTCAGCGCCTCTTAACTCCCGTGTGAACATGAATTTGGCTGAGAGTCACTGTCACAGGGCTTAGCTGGTAAGGATCCAGTGACCTGCACTGCCGATCAGTGGTGGCCCAGAAGGGGGCTGGTAAGCAATACTGAGAACAAAGGCACCGTGTTAGCAGCACACCCTGTGAGACCCAGTCACACCAGCAGAAGGTGTTCTCTGGTCGGCCCAGCGGGGGCCGAGGCCTGCAGAAACATGGGAAGTTCAGGCTGAAGCTGGATGAGATGGCGCACACCATTAATCCCAGCACTCAGGGAGGCAGAGGCAGGCAGATCACTGTAAGTTTGAGGACAGCCTGGTCTACAGAGCAAGTCCAGGACAGCCAAGGCTACACAGAAAAACCCGTCTTGAAAAGCCGAGAGAGAGAGAGAGAGAGAGAGAGAAAGAGAGAGGTCCAGGCTGTGGCACATCAGCCATAGACAGGCTTAGAATGGACAATGGACAGTCAACAGCTGGAACATCACAGATGTACAGACACAGGGATGACACACGCTCAGAAGTGGACATCCTTCTTCCCATAAACCAAAATGTCAACCCTGGTAAGACTGTGTGTTCAAGTAAGATGATGGAGTGGGGCATTTTTTACCTGGATGAAATTAAGTGATAAACAGAGCTAAAGTCAAACAAATTTCCTGACACTACACAGGAGTCAGGGACTTCTAAGCAAGAACAGACCCGAGAACATCTTAAGGAGAAGGGCAGGAAATCTCCATATATACTGACTCGAGTATTGAACCTGAACATAATAGTCAGTTTCACTCTTCTAATAGGGACACGCCTGTTCTCAGCTGGAGGGACAGCTCAGAGTTACGATGACCTCTTGTAGGGCTGGAGAGATGGCTCAGCACTGGAGGCTCTTCTAGAGGACCCAGATATGGGTCCTAGCACCCACACGACAGCTTATCAACCATATGTAACTCCAGTTCCAGGGTATCCTTTTCTGGTTTCTGAGGGCACTTAACAGAGTTTGTACACAGACACACATGGATGCAAAACATCAATATGTACACGAATTTTCAAAAGACTGGTTGTGCAATCGTGAAGACAGAGTTTGGATCCTAGAGCTTTGTAAGAGGCTGTGTGTTCAGCACACATCTGTAATCCAAGCTCTGAGGAAAGGCAGAGATAGGGGTTTGCTTTTGAGTTTTGGGCTGTTAGTAACAAAGAAAACATGAGCCTCAGATTCAAAGAGAGACCCTGCCTCAAAAGAATGGGGGGGTGGGTGGGCTGGAGAGATGGCTCAGCGGTTAAGTGCATTGTCTGTTCTCCCAGAGGTCCTGAGTTCGATCTCAGAAACCACGTGGTGGCTCACAAACATCTATGCCCTATACTGCTCTCTTCCCACATGCAGCTGTACCTGCAGATAGAGCACTGGTACATAAAATAAAATCATTAAAAAAAAAAGCGACAACACATGCTGGGGAGGTTGTGGAGAAAGAGGAGCCCTCCTCCACTGCTAGTGGGAATGTAAACTTGTACAACCACTCTGGAAATCAATCTGGCGCTTTCTCAGACAACTAGGAATAGCGCTTCCTCAAGATCCAGCCATACCACTCCTAGGCATATATCCAAAAGAGGCTCAAGTACACAATAAGGACATTTGCTTAACCATGTTTGTAGCAGCTTTATTTGTAATAGCCAGAAGCTGGAAACAGCCCAGATGCCCCTCAACTGAAGAATGGATGCAGAAATTGTGGTACATTTACACAATGGAGTATTACTCTGCAACGAAAAATAAGGAAATCATGAAATTTGCAGGTAAATGGTGGGACCTGGAAAGGATCATCCTGAGTGAGCTGTCCCAGAAGCAGAAAGACACACATGGTATATACTCAATCATATAGACATATAACATAGGATAAACCTACTAAAATCTATACATGTAAAGAAACTAATTAAGAGAGAGGACCCTGACTAAAATGCTCAATCCCATCCCAAAAGGCAAAGAGGATGGATATCAGAAGAAGAAGAAAACAGGAAACAACCTAGGAACCTGCCACAGAGGGCCTCTGAAAGGCTCTGCCCTGCAGACTATCAAAGCAGACACTGAGACTTTATGGCCAACTGTTGGGCAGAGTGCATGGAATCTTATGTAAGAAATGGGAAAAGTAAGATCTGGAAAGGACAGGAACCCCACAAGCTGAGTAACAGAACCAGAAAATTTGAACACAGGGGTCTTCCCAAAGACTCATACTCCAACCAAGTACCATGCATGGAGATAACCTAGAACCCCTGCACAGATGTAGCCCATGGCAGCGTAGTGTCAAGTGGGTTCCATAGTAATGGGAAGAACTGCCTCTGACATAATCTGATTGTCCTGCTCTTTGATCACCTCCCCCTGAGGGGGGAGCAGCCTTACCAGGCCACAGATGACGACAATGCAGCCACTCCTGATGTGATCTGATAAACTAAGATCAGAAGGAAGGAGAGGAGGACCTCCCTTATCAGTGGACTTGGGGAAGAGCATTCGTGAAGAAGGGGGAGGGAGGGTGTGACTGGGAGGGGAGGAGGGAGGGGCTTATGGGGGGGATACAGTGAATAAAGTGTAATTAATAAAATTAAATTAAATTAAAAAAAGAATGGGCACAGACAGACAAAGGACACCCGAGGACACCTGACTTTGTCCTTTATGGGGCCACAAGCATGCCATTTACACATCCAAGTAAATGGATCCTTTAAAGTGAAAAGACATAAAAGAGAGCAACATTTTTAAAATGAAGTGGAAAGAAATAAATGCCCTAAGGCATTATAGCAATTTGAGGACGGTAGTTCTTAACATGGGCTCAGGGACTTCAAGAGTCTACAACACCTGACAGCTAACAGTGCAAAGGAACAATGTCTATACACAGACATCTGACAATAGGGCTTTTGAGTTCCTTCTTTTTTGTAGTTTTTTGAGAAAGGGCTTCTCTGTATAGCCCTGGATGTGTTGAAACTCACTATACACAAGGCTGGCCTTGAACTCAGAGATCCACCTTCCTCTGCCTCCTGAGTGCTAGGATTAGAGGTATGTGCCACACTGCCTGGCCTAAAGTTTTGTGAGAATAGCTCATTCCATTTGGTAAAACCTGGACAGGTAGGGAGGAGAGGAGCAGACTCCTTCCTGGTTAGGAAAGAACACGGCGAAGTAAAGACAGTCAATGTCCTTACTCTCGGGAGCTTCCTGCTACACACTTACCGTGAACCTCTTCTTCTTCTCTCTGTGCTCATCGGAGCTGGGGATGCTTACGCTTGGGCAGCTCTCCTTGTAATCCATGGTACAATCTCTCTGCATTTAACGTCTTGGAGGACACAGAAACTGGGCCTGAAGTTTCAAAGTTCTCAGCAGAGCTAACCCAAAATATGAAACCTCTTGACGTAAAGTTCAAACTCCATCATGGAACCTTAAACAACAGGAAAAAAAAAAGATTAAAAAACCAATTTTAAAAAGCAAAAATTAAAAAGGTATTATGAAGCTGCAGAAATAGCTCAGCAGTCAAGAGAGCTGGCTGTTCTTATAGAAGATCAGAATTCCTAGAACCAATATCAGGTCGGTCTGTCTGTCTGTCTCTCTTTCTCTCTCTCTCTCTCACACACACACACACACACACACTTCCTCATCCCAGAATGTGTACAGTTGGTTCAACGTATGAAAAAGGGTAGATGTAATCTACATATAAACAAGCCGAAAGGAAAAAAAACACATGATCATCTCATTGGATGAAGAAAAGGCCTTTGACAAAATCCAATCCTTCCCCTCCTGGAGGTTAGGGATAAAAGAGGCATACCTAAACATAATAAAGGCAATGTACAGCAAGCCTGTAGCCAACACCAAATTAAAAGGAGAGAAACTCAAAGCAATTTCACTAAAATCAGGAACAAGACAAGACTGTTTACACTATACCTTTTTAGGACCTTAACTGAAGTCATAGATAAAGCAATAGAACAAGTGTAGGAAATCAAGGGGATACAAATTGTTAAGAAAAAAACAAAGTATTTCTTTGCTCTAACAGTATACCTAAGTGACCTTAAAACTTCCACTAGGAACACACAGGAAAAAAAGAAAACAAAACTCGGATAACTGAAACAATTCTAAACAGTGAGAGAACTGCTGGAGCTCTCAGCATTCCAGATTTCAAGTTGTACTGCAGAGCTACAGTAATAAATACAGCACAGTAACAGCATGAAAACAGAAGTGTTGGTCAACAGAATCGAAGTGAAGAGCCAAACATAAATCTAGACACCTGATCTTTGATAAAAAAGGCAGAAATATATTGGAAGGTAGGCAGCATCTTTATCAAAGGGTGCTGTTCAAACTGGAGGTAGAAGAATGAAACAGATTTAAAAAACTTTGACTCCAAATGGAATGCCAGGAAATGCAAACAGCCTAGATGTATCCCAACTGAAGAATGGTTATGAAGACATGGTACAGATTTACACAACAGAGTATTACTCAGATGCTACAAAAAAATGACAACGTGAAATTTTCAGGCAGATGAATGGAACAACAAAATCACCCTGAGTGAAGTAACCCAGACCTAATTAAAAAAAAAAAAAAATGGCACGTATTCGCTTACATGTGGATGTTAGCCATTAAATTATAACTGAGTCACAATCTGTAGAGCCAGAGAGGTTAGAAGAAGGGACTGGGGAAAATTAAATTAATTTTATGGGTGGACTGGGGTGGGAATGGGACAGATGGGAACAGGAGGATCAGGCTGCGGTAGTGGAGGGGAGATGGCATTGAGGGAGGGAATAGGGGGAGAGACAGCTACTATTGAGGAGCATTTGAGGGCTGAAATAAAAGCTTAGTGCAGTGGAAACTTCCTAAATTTTTATGAAGGAGATCCTAATAAAGTACCCAAATAAAGAGGAAAATGGGAGTCCCAACTGGCCATCTCTTGTCACCAAACACAGTTTCCAGAACCAGTTCTGGGTTACATCCACTTGAATTGTTGGACAGTAGGTCCCATGAAAATCCCCGAACAACCCAGGCTCTTGCTAAGACAACAGGTTGCTCTCCTCAAGCTGAGGAGAGCAAGGTCCCGCTGCTGAAGACAACACTCACACAACTCACCGAACATAGAGAGGGTGAGCTGCTTTTTACATAGAACCAAACCCGTGTTCTAGTGTCTTTGTTATGGAAAAGCACTCTGTAGGCTACCAAAACAGAAATGTAAACACCAATTCAGCCACAAAGCCTTTGATTTTCAAACTGTCCTGCTGGCAAAATATGCTAGGGCAATGGTGGCACAAAGTTTGTGTGTGTAAGTAACCAACCAATGTGTGCTCTGACTTAAGGCTTACTCCACGAGACAGAACCCATACCTAACGTGGCTTGGTTAACCAAGAACTAGTTACTAGATAACCCAGAGACTTAGGGTAAAACCAAATACTAGACACACATACACACACACACACACACAGAGAGAGAGAGAGAGAGAGAGACAAAAGGACAAAGAGGTGGTGATAAAATGACTCCTAATGATATTCTGCTACATTCACAGATCAGTGCCTTGTTCAGCCATTATCAAGGAGGCTTCCTCCTGCAGTAGATAGGAACACAGAGACCCACAGCCAGATAAGCAGTTAGAAAGAAAGAGAGACCTTGGGACACACAGCTCTAAATGGAATATCTCCATCAAATCCCTCCTCTCAGAGCTCAGGGAACCCCACAGAAGAGAAGGCAGAAGGCAGAAGGGAAAGAAGACACCAGGAGAACAAGGTCCTCTAAATCACTGAGCAAAGCTCCTATGAGCTGAGACTGAAGGAGCAAGCGCAGGGCCCACACAGGTCTGCACCAGGTCCTCTGCATATATATTATACAAAGCTCTCAGTTTAACATTTTTATGGGACTCCTGAGTATATGAACGAGTAAGTCTCTGATTCTTGTGATTTCTCTTGGGCTCTTTTCCTTCTGTTGATTTGCCTTGTCCAACTCCGAGTGATGGTTTTTGTTTTATTTTGTTATGTTTGGTCGTTATCTCTTAGAAGCCCATTCTTTTCTAATGAAAGACAGAAAGGGAGTGGATTTGGATAGGAGAGGTGGGGAGGAAATGGGAAGAGAAGAGAAAAGGGAAACTTTAACAGATTGTATGCTAAAAGAATCTACTTTTAGAAAAAGGGAAGAAAGATATAAAAAATTGGAACACATTAATAAGTGACAGCCCTTCTATGGAGGGAGAGGATGGTACAGAGACATGCCAGGTGTCACAGGATGGGTGCAGATAGATGGCACAGTGCTAGAAATTGAAGTGGTCAATGAGAACGCTAACTTCAGAGATTCTAACAAGGGCTGGGGTTACTTCCAGATGTCCTTGAAGGGCCGCACATGACAAAGGTCTAGGTGAACATGGCTGCTTTGTGGAGTCTCCATTTCTTATAGCTGCCAGCACACAGGACTAAGAAAAAGGGCAGAATTTAATAGTGACTGGTGAAGAGCAATCAAACATGCAACCGTGTAGTCATAGATACTAACATAAGGGCACGCGTTGGAAAGCAGATTCTGGGTGATGAAAGCAAACATTTAGGAAGCATGAGTGAGGCACTGAGTGATGGCCTCCACTTCCAGTGAACCTCCCAGCTCAGTGAAGCTACCTGAACTCCTCTAGGGACGAACATCCAGACCTCTAATGCCTCCTCGCCCCATACTTCATGTGACCCTTTCTTTCAAGTTGTTTCCAAGGATATGCCAATTCCACTCACTTGTGTTTTCATTGTTCTTTATTATCATACAACCCAACTGAGCTTACAAGGAAGTACAAGACCAACTGAGAACACACTGAATTCGATGCAGAATTACTGTGCCCCCACTGAAAGACCGTGAGCACATACTGCTGATTTTTCTTCAAGGCCTTTCCTGAAAATGATCTGCAGCCACCTCAGAGTGGATATCCACTGTAGAAAGTAAATACAAAACCCTTCCAAAGGTTACTGGACACCACCTCTGAAGTGACACTAATTTCTGTGGACCCAAAATGTGTTCCATTAGTCAGAACGGGGCTCCTAAAGACGGTGCAAAACATAATGTTGGTCCTAGAATCTCAGTGGGTCCAACAGAACCACAGATTTACTTTGTGTCTGTTTCCCTTGTCCTAGAATTTTACTAGAAACATATATATGTATTAACTACACATATAGTTATATATAGTTACTCATACACACACAGATAGAAATATATATATATAGAGAGATAGTTAGATATACATATTTATGAGTAACTAGCCAAGTCCCCACAATGGATCCTCATCCTGCCAGAAAAGCTATTACGGGAGAAACAGCTCTGCAGAAACCTCTGACAAGCATCAAGAGAGGAATAGAGTTTCTGACCTTCCAGTCTGTCAGCAGCTACTACCCATTTGATTCCTGGCCTACAACCCTTAGGATCAAAACTATTCTGTTCACACTAAGAAAGTAATAAAACAATACTCTGCCCACACTCCCTTGCGAGTTCAGAAATCAGTGAAAGTAATAAAAAAAAAAAATACTCTGCCCACACTCCCTTGCGAGTTCAGAAATCAGTATCACTATCAAAAAGCTGGTAAGAGCGGGGGTGGTGGTGCATGCTGTGTACTCGGGGAGGCAGAGCAGGCAGATCTCTGTGAGTTCAAGGCCAGCTTGGTCTACCATCAAGTCCAGGGCAGACAAGGCTACACAGAGAAACCCTGTCTCGAAAAACCGAAATCAAACCAAAAAGCTGATGAATCAGGAGTGCTGAATCCTATCATACTTCCACTTAAACTGTGTGACTATTCCAGAGCCCAAAAAAAATCTTGCGACAGGACTACGGTTGTCAAAATCTAACCAGGTGGTGTTACTAACTCCAGATGCAAGACCACCCATATGTTGGGATGGTGACTGTTACGGTATTCCCTGATAGCAAGTATACAGCTCAGGAGCTGGGAAACGGTGTCTTTTCTAGCAGTAGCAGTGGAGACGAGACTCAGCCTGCTCTCACGTGACAGAAACAGCAGTGCCTACCGCTCACGGTCACACCGCAGAGCTACATCTGCCATGTTGCCAGGATACGGTCCAGACTAGAGCAGCAGCTCCCAACCTGTGAGTCCCAGTCCCTTTGGGGGTTGGACAAGCCTTTCTCAGGGGCATAGATATCCTGCCTATCAGATTCCTTACAACAGCAAAACTAGTTATGAAGTAGCAATGAAAATAACTTTATAGTTGGAGGTCACCACAACACGAGGGGCCGGATATAAGGGTCGAAGCATTAGGAAGGTTGAGAATCTCTGCTCTAGGAGACGGAGATCATGCTGACTCACAGGCCACCACATTGATGACATTAGCTTAACTGGCTCCAGTAAACAAGAAATAGCAAACAGTAAGCCCCAGAAACAGAGGATGGGAGGAAAGTGCCACAGAAGCTCAGGATCTACTATACAGCAGATTC